GGCGCTGAGGCTGTTGGAGTCATACAAAAGAAAACACGATCAAGCCAAGTAGTAGCACAGCGTAATGGAAAATGCAAATGGACTTTGGAGGGGGACAGACCCGAGTTCAAAGAATTGCCCGATCACTACATTTATAGGAACTCTGCCAATTGGCTTCATCTTTCTGAGTGCTGGTTCCTTCAGCTGTGGAGTGGGCACCCCCACCCCCCAGGGCCATGTGGCCTGGCTGAGTTAGCATGCCCCTTCCCTTCCATAGGACACAGTCACCTAGGAGGTGTAGATTCCCGGCTCTGGACGTTCAGCAAGGAAGAGAAGTACAGCAGTAACCCTTTATTTGCCAGTGGGCTTTACCATCTTCTTCTTGTAACAGATTGTATGTGGTTTTCCTACACTGCCCCCTCCAATCACATTCCAGAAGGGAGGGACAGTAGTGGAGCTTTGTGGGCTCACGTGGTGAGGAGAATGTCACAGAAGACTCAGATTCAGGTCTTCCCCTTGAAGAATGGGTGTTCTCTATAGGGAAGAGAAGGGACAGCCCAGCGGTGGGGGGAGGTGACCTGGGAAACCCTTGCAGGAAATCCTGAGAGGGGTAACCAGTGGTTTGGGGAGGTGGTGAGCAGTTCTTGCGCTGCAGAGCCTTTGCGCATGCTGTTCCCCTGCCAGGAACGTTCTCTCCATCTCATCCCGCCCTGGCCTTCTCTGCTCTTCTTTCAGATCTTGCCCTCCTTACTCTCTCAGGAAGCTTTCTCTGACTTCCTGACCAGGCCAAATCTCTGTTGTATATCTCCTTTGTAAGCTCTTCCCAGTTATGCTTCTACATTTATTTGTGAGGTTATTTGATTAGTACCAGTCCCACTCTTTAATTCCCATCAGAGCAAGGGTTGTGTGTGTTCTGGACCCCACCACAATTGCTTCACCCCATGACTTACTGCAGCACACGGAACATAGAGAGGGCTTCATAAATATTCGTTAGATGAGTGGATAAATTTTGGTTATCAGTGAGGTAATAGACTCAGTGGGAGAGATATATATTTCAGATTGCTAATCCCATTCGGTGCCAAGCACTGTATTACCTCATTTAACGCTAAAAACAACCCTATGAAATCAAGTGTATTATTCCTTTAACTTTAAAGACGGAGAAACTAAAATCCGTCTCTCCCTGTTGCCACAGCCAAGGAGCGACAGCGCCTCTTGAGCCTGGCAGTCTGACTTTGGGGCTCCTGGCCCTAACCCCATTGCGTTGTGCGGCACAGGACAAAGCCCAGGACCTCAGTCCAGTCAGGATGGATTTGTTTGAAAATTGTGCATTTCCCCCTCCCATTCTTTATTATTATTTTTATCATCATCACTTCACAATAAAGCTGAGCAGAAAAGAACTACTTCATGTGCCACGTCTTACATTCAGGTTGACTCTGCATCCGCCTAAGTGATTTGGCCAGATTTACCCAGAGAGCAGACTGGACGTTTGAAGTGCTGATTCCTAGAAAATCCTAGACTGCTTCTTTTAACCACCGTTGAAGACCCAGCATGTACTTTGCCAAAGCATGACAGAGTTGTTTTAAATAAAGAGAGGTGATTTGACTAAGTTTGGTATTGTTTGAGACCTTTGCCTTCTACGTCTTATTCAAAAAGCACGCCTAGCCTATGATCAGCAGAAGGTGTCGAGTCATAAAGTTCCTGAAAGAAAGTCTTAAATTTCATCAAGGAAGGCAAGAAATCCTGAGTATCCTCAAGAATAACAGCTGTTACTATAACAGCATAATTATTACTAGAAAATTAACAAAGACCAATAAAGTATGGCACTCTGGAAAAAAGACTTATCCTAGAAATAGAAGCAGCCTGAATCAGTCACTTATTCCAGCCACCTGCTTTTAGACAAGATTTTAAAAAAATAATCTCAGGACAGATGTATTATTTATAGAACTCTAGGTAGAAGAGCACATTACCATAATAAATAAGCTAATAATTAATGCTTGTATACTGATATTATTTGCCAGACACTGTTCTAAATACGTTTACATGCATAATGTATTTAGCTTAGACAATTACCCTTTGAGATACCATTATTATCCCTATTTTACAGATGAAGAAAACTGAGCACTGCCAAAGTCACACAACTAGTAAATGGAACTGTCTTCAAACCCTAGCTGGGTTTGCTGGATTTGCTACCCAGTGTCCTGGGTAGCCAATTACTCAGTTTTGTCTCCTTTGTCTCCTTGACTCTAATCGAAAGCTTCATTTGTGTTTAAGCCATTATTAATGTTCGTTAAGAGCCTGCCATGTTCAGACTCTCTGGGAAACCTTTCTAACAGATACAGTTGCTCTCTATAAATTTAATTTTCAGGGGAACCATTATTCAAAGAAGTAAAAGGGAGGCTGAATACAAAGAATTAAATTCTCCATAGAACAAATGAATTTCTGAATTGATTGCAAATAGTTCTCAGTCATCATGGCATTTTGTGAAGTATGGTCTTCACCATGCTAGTGTGCCAGTGACTTCATGTGCCATACAACTTACAAATAGTGTCACTGTTTTCAGTTCCCACACATCAGCTTTCTTCTTTCAGTATTTTGGAAAGTCCACAAAACCCAGAGGCCTCCCTGTCTTCTGCCCTGTGGTCTCTGTGAAAACCAGATGATGCCATGCTGACCGGGACTCTTTCAGAGGGATCAAACAGTGCATTAGTCACCGGCAAATTTTTTAGCTCCTTTGCCTCAGAGAATACCTAGTTCCTCATTCTTGCCACTGTTTGGTCATGAAATAATAGTATGAAAACTACGTGAATACTTTGCGAGGACACCTCCCACCTCTTTCCTTCAGTGCCTGTGACTAACTCCCTCATGGTGGTGACAGTGAAAGATTGGAATATCGGAAGGGATTGGGCTTTAGTCACAGGATTCCTCTGGTGTCCCGTTTAAGTGGGAAGCCTACCTGACTTCACCAACTGCAGCGTTACCTCGTGCCTCACCTGTTGCATTCCTGTGCTTATTGTCACTTACAAGCACACTTACATGGTTTATCTAGTGCTCTTTCACTGGTCTTTTATTGCTGAGGAAACCCCCATGGGATATGTCGTCATAACAAAGACTGATTTCAGTTGTTGACACCAAGACACAGAACCAGCATTAGCAATCCGGGGAGTATCTAGGGACAGCAGCCAACTTTGGAGCAAACCCAGGACTTTTTATTCCCTGCCCTGTACTTAAGGGCAAAGGCTTTCTGCCTGTTATAAAAGGGAAGGCACTAAGTTCATAATTAGCTTTATATCTAGAGAAGTTTTTTTTTTAAGTGCTATACCTGTTTAAGTAATTCTTTATTTGTGATTTGAGGTAGTCAAAAATCAAATTTAATCCTAAGCTCCCTTTGTGATTAGCTTGCTCTGCAAGGGCTGGAGGCCCCTCCTGCTGCTGGTCCTGCTCCTCCGGAAGGAGCGTGGTTAGAAGGTTCAGAGTAACCCTTTGCGGCAGCTCTGAGCCAAGGTGTGGGCAGAGAGGCCCTGTGGTTCCCAGCTGAGCTGCGCAGTTGATCGGAGGCGGGTCAGTCCTTTGTTCAGGGGTGAAACTTCTCTCTCCTCAAACCCTCTGGGGAATGATGCCAAGTTTGATCAGCTTCTCAACTCTTACAGTGAAAGATTGCATTGGGAAAAAATCCATATTAAGAAAAGGCTATCAAAACTTTGCTTCAGTGATGATGTTTATAATAGAAGAAGTCTGGTTTAAAAGGATTATGTCTCTTTCCAAGAAGAGCCATCTACAGGTGTAATTCCCAAATACTGTACTTTTTAATTTTTTTATTTTATTTTTTTGAGCTGTGGGCTGCTTGTGCAGATTTATGCATTTCTAATGATTGCATGGTGGGGAGATCCTGGATTTAGGTCATGCATTTCCTCAAAACTACAATATGAGCTAATGAGATAGGGTGACCAACTCATCTAGATTTGGCTCTGAAAGTCCTGTGTCCAAAAAAACCCCTTAGTCCTAGGCAAAACAGGACAGCTAGTCACCTTGCGAGGAGATAAGGTGCATTTCCAACTCTTTGGCTGAATTCATCACATAGTTCTGACTTAATAGGATTCAGGAGGGTTAATATAGGCCATGTGTCTTTTCTGTTATTGTGGTTTTAGTCTGAGAGATTTCTCGAGGAAGGAATTTGGTCTGCTACAGGGGGCTAGATGTCCAACTAGAGAAGAAAGAGTGTCCAAGTTCTCTTTGCTTAAATTGTCATTTTCTCCATGATATTTCCTTTTTTATTGTTGTTGTCATCATTTTAAAGATATACCAATAAAAAAGATAAATTACCTTAAATGGAAAAACCTAATTTTATAACTGGTGAAAGCTAAAGTTTTATACTTACAAAGTACACTTTTTTGAATTTAAGAAACTCACTATGACCTGAGCATATGTCATTCAATTATGAGAACTCTTTGCAGAGAGGGCAACTGAAGGGTCACACACCCTACAGGTGATCTGCGTGTCCGCAGCCAAACTTCAGAGCCAGGTCCCTGGACAAGATTGTCCCCTGCCTAATCCCACGGCAAAGTCAGGACGTGCTGTTGCTGTTCCTCTCCCTCCTTCCCTGATGTCCATCGATCACCTTCCCTTCTCACCAAGCATTTATCCGGCTTTTGTGACCAGAAATTGTGCAGAGGAAAACATGTTCCTGGCTAGTAGAAGGGAGAGGTTTCATGGCAACGCATCCTCCAAGATGTGCTGTTCCAGCTCTAACAATGTGTGCTGTGTTTTAAATGGCCTGCTTCTTGGAGTATCTTCCCATGACACAAAACAGCCACCACTAGCATTTTAGTTTATTTCCATCCTGTCATTGATTCATCACATACTTGTAAAAACAGAGCTGTGATCATATATATGTATATATATATATATATGCATAATTTTATATCATACTTTTTATACTTACTAGCTTATCATAAACATTTTTTCAGTGTTGCTATTAATACATAGTCAGATGTGCTAACTTTTGAAATGTGCTTCTTGTATAGATCTGCAACTATATGGGACCAGCAAAGGTTATTGTTCAGTTGGTCACAAATGGAAAAAATATCCACCTGCATGCGCACAGCCTGGTGGGAAAGCACTGTGAGGATGGGATCTGCACTGTGAATGCTGGACCCAAGGACATGGTGGTCGGGTAAGTGAGGGGTGTGACGCTGCACAAGTAGGAACAGGCAGAACATGGGACACAGGGCCTTGGAATGACAAGGCCCTTTTCATTAGGGACCTTTCTGAGACCCTCATCTGGCCTCAAAAAAAACCCAAAAACATGACAACTTGTGTTCTTACTTGGACTCCAGGGAGTAACGTGACACATGTCTGAATTTGCCCGAAACAGCCCAGTTTGCAGCTGGGCTATTAATAACCCCCTCTTCAACTCTCAAAGGTGGCCCAGTGTGGATGATCACTTATATATGCCACTTGACCTAGGGTGCATTTCTGCCAATGTCAATAATATTTTACTTCTAGAAATAAAGATAAGGACGAATTAGAAGGAATCTAACTGTAGCAGAAATCAACACTGTATGGATGGATTTATATTCTTGATGATTCCTTTAATGGATTTACAGTGTGAACATATGGGGCATGAAGTGGATAAATAAATATTGCTTCAGCTTTGTGCTGTTGGAGAGTGCACAGAAAAGAAGCCAAGGAATGCAAATTTGTGTTGGCATTCATTAGACTTGAAATGTAAATACAAAGTGACATATTCATTTAAAGATTGGTCAGATAAAACAAGCAATTTTTAATGAATGAAGTTTCATAGAAATAATTTCAATCCAAAAAATTAAGAATTGGTTTCAACGAGGCATTTACTATGCTAAAGACCAAAGTGTATTTGTTATTTTCCCAAAATGCTAACATAGCACACAGCATAGTAATTTAGCATGCAATGTAAACTGATACATGCAATCAATAACCCTAAAAATGGTTGTTTTAAGTCTTACTTTGGGATACCTTAAAAACAGAAGAAGTAAGAAATTTTTAATTTTGTTTGATTTTTTAAAAATATTTTTCAGGGCTTTCTAATCCTGGTTTAAATAGGTTGTGCTAAAATCCCAGTTAATCTGGGCTATTCACTCAAAAGAAGGAATTATTTAAATCAACTATAATTAAGCTGATGGTTGCATTTTGGGCTTTGAATTCTGATCAAGTTTCAAGTTGGTTGTTATTGGGGAGATTGAGCTTTCATGTTCCTAGGTATTTCTTTGTTTGACTGTAAAAATATTTAAGTGTGAAAAACCTAGAGACAGGGCTTTAAGTCACTAAAATCTGATTCTTTTGATGTTCAAAAAAATCTCTAGATTGAAGGAAGAAGCTTAAATTGATTGAAAAATTCGATTGTGCTTTATATGAGGTTGTTTCAACATCCTCTTGAAAGATTGGCCTGTTTCCTGTTGTGTGTCGAAGTTGGTTTTATCCTGCGGTTTTGGAATGCCCTTCCAGTTCCTGGTTGACTTGTGAGAGCTTTGAAATGCAGGGAAATTTTCACAGTTTTAGACTAATTGATCATTTAGGGTTTCTGCAGATGTACTTCAGTAGGCTCCTGTCAGTTTGAAGTGTTTATTTTCTTTGGTCTTATTTAATCTGTGTGATAATCATTTCCTTTAGAAGAAATTATAGGTGAAGTTTTCAACTAATAATATTTGTTATTATAAAACTTCCAGTATGTTATCTGTAATTTGATTTCTGTGATTTGGTTTAGTAATCTTTCAGGATTTTAGAAAGAACTAATGGTTATTTAATTTGGGGCCTAGATCCAGGAGAAGTAGTAAATTCTCTGTCTCCAAGGAAGTGAGGGATTCCTTTACTCTCTTGTAGTGCAGTGGGATGTGGGGTTCCGTGGCTGGGAGAACTCACCCTTCATTCATTCATTTAACAAACATCTTGAGCATATCAGCTCCTAAGTTTGATCATTATGATATCTGTTTCATTGTAGTGCTATGAGATTTTCTATACTTGTGCAATTTCATTGGGAAATTTAATCAAAAAGGTGCCACTTGAGAGTTACGATAGATTCTGATCTTTCTTGTTCAGATTGTTCTATGAAACATTGATACTCCCTTTCAAATTTTTAGCTGAGAAATTTTTGCTTACTGTGTTTTCGAAAATACACTGTTACCTTCCTAATTCATTTGTCTCTCTTTATCTCTTTATTTTTTAAGTTTCCAATATCAAAACCTATTACATTTTTGTAGAAAGAACATCATGCTGGCAGTCTGGAAACCAGAATTCCATTTCCAATTCCATCCTCTCAGCAGCAGGACTGGGGGCGAGTAACGTGACTTCTTGGGGACCTTCATTTCTTCCCTTATAAAAGGAGAGGGTTGGGATACAGAGTCCTTCTTCAGGCCCTTTTTATCTCCAAAATTCTAGACTGAACTAACATTAGTTAATATTATGAAATAACATGAGCAAACTTGCCACACATGCATTTATGGTATGACATCGATTATTATTTAGTTCTGACTTGTAGGCAAGAATATCACATAGAGAAATTTAGGAAAATAGCCAAAGTTATTCCTTAGACTTGTCAATACTAGAAATGGAACCAAGATAACCTGTTTTCAATAATACAGATTAGGCTAAGAATATAAGGGCACTGATCCAACACATCAAAAAAGACATGTGAAAAAGACACTGAGCAGATAAATAATTTTTGAGTGATCAAAACAAAAAAAAGAAATGTTTCTTTGGATTGTTTCTCTTCGCCTTTCTGTGAGTATGAATTCTCAGTAAACTTAGTTTCTATTTTCAAAAGTATTTTATCTATATTATAAATAGTCATTTTAAATAACCAAGCCTTGGTTACAGGCTTGATTGCTTTAATTTGGGAGATTTGTCTTTCTAATGTTTTTAAAGTTAGCTTTAATTTTGTCTTTTTAATTTCTTATTCATTTATATAGTTAGCGTTTACTATCTTTCTTGACAAAAAATAATCTTAGTTTGGTATTTTATTTTAGATACTGAATCATATGTTTCAACATTTGAGTTCTTTGAAATCTTCATTGAGTGGAAAATATCTGTATTACTTGACTTTGCTTTAGGCCACTTTCCTCACCGGCAGTCACCACACCCTCTGCTTCCTGGCAACCCTGATGTAGAGAGATACGCAGTCTTTTTTTCTTTCCCAGCTGAAATATATAGTGCATACCAAACTGGTAAGCGCTAAGAATAGATACATAAATATAAAAATACAAAGGAGAAACAAAGCCTCCCTCAGTGAGCTAGTGTGGACCATATTAAATTGCTGTTTTTATAGGTCCAAAAGCAAGTAATTATTGGTGGTTTTATGTGGTTGAACCTTAATACACAGAAAAGGAGCTGATTGGAGAAAATTGATGAAGTGTGATCTGAAGTTGGATATAGCCAGCTTCCAAAGTAGAGTGTGTATCGTGAGTCGCTTCTAAATCCTGCGAAGTCAACGTTTGAGCCCTGAGGGGAAGAAAGGCCAGGGAGAGGGGCCACTTCTGATCCCAGCCCGGTGGGGATCCCAGCGCCGGCGGCAGCAGCAGGTGCCGACGAGTGTGGCGCGGGGAGCCCTGGCGCAGGGCAGAGGGTGCCGGGCCGCCAGCACCGGGCCGCCCCGCGCAGGCGCCGCTCGGCTCCGCTCGGCTCCGCTCGGCTCCGCTCGGCTCCGCTCGGCTCCGCTCGGCTCCGCTCGGCTCCGCTCGGCTCCGCTCCCAGGGCGGTCCAGAGCAGTGCGGCGCGCTGTCCAGCTTTGGGGCATCAGAGCCACCGGCAGGGAACCCCAAACGTGGACTGCGGGGCCCCAGCCCAGAGTGTCTGATTCATTGGTGGGGGCCAGGGGGGCAAAATTTGTATTTTAAGGTAATGCTGATGCTGCTGGTTTTGAAAGCCACTTGTGCAGAAGAATATAGCATTTTGAGGTAGTCCCAGTCCCATTACTAGCCATGATAACCTTTCTTTTGTAGTTGTCATTTATTGAAGTATAATTTAAATACTATTAAAAATTAGCCTTTTAAAGTATGCAACTCTATGAGTTTTGGCAATGCTCATATAACCACCACAGTGAAGATTTAGAATTGTCCCACGACCCTCAGAATCCTGTGCCCCTTTACAGTGAACTCTCCCCTCCCCCTTCAGGGTCCTGGCAACTACGGATCCTTTTCTGTCCCTGTAGTTTTGCGATTTCCAGAATGACATATAATTGGAATGATACAATATGTAGCCTTTTTGAGTCTGTCTTTCAAGTACCACAAGGCAGTTAAAATTTCTCCATGTTGTTGTATGTGTCTAGTTTATTCCTTTTAGCTACTATGTAGTATTACATATTGGTGTACTGGTTTGTTTATTTATTCACTTGTTGAAGGACATTAATGAATGACACTCCTTTATCTTTATAGTCAAAGTAAAAATATGCTGCATATATTAAATAATTGGGTCTTGCCCTCTGACTTAATGGGGATATTTAGGCCATGTATTATTGTTGTGGCTATTTCAATCTACTGCATTGCTATCTTTTTTCTACTTATCACATCTGTTCCTTGTTCCTTCTTTTCTCTTTTTCTTCCTTCTTATGAATCAATTGATTATTTGATATCATTTTATCTCCTTGTTTTATACCTCTTTGTATATTTTAGCAGTTGTTTTAGGATACATACTATACATCTTTGATTATTATAGTCTACGTTTAGGTAACATTATGCCTCTTCATGTGTAGTATATGAGCCTTAGAGCAATATACTTTCATTTCTCCCCACACCATTGTGCTATTTTGTCATATATTTTATATCTATATATGTCATGAATCCCATATTATATTATTTTCTATTTTTGCTTTAAATAGTCAATTATCTTTTAAAGAAAAAAAGTCTTTTATAAATATTTTATGTTTACCCACATATTTACCATTTGCAGTGCTCTTCATTTTGTTTTGTAGGTCAAGATTTCTAATTGGTATCATTTTCTTCTGCCTGAAGCACTTCCTTTAACTTTCCTCATACTGCTGATCTGATGCTGGTGAATTCTTTCAGATACTGTATGTTTTGAAAGTCTTTATCTTTGTTTTTCAAAGATAATTTTGAAGAGCATAGAATTGTAGGTTGACAATAGTATTCTTTCATATCCTCAGAATATGTTGCTCCACTGTCTTCGAGCTTGCTTTGTTTCCAGCAAGAAGTCTCCGGTTAATCTTATCTTTGTTCCTTGGGACATAAGGTGTCTTTTTGTTTTCTCTCACAGCTTTTCAGATTTTCTTTTCATCACTAGTTTTAAGCAATTTGATTATGGTGGACTTTAGTGTAGTTTTCTTCATGTTGCTTGTGGTTAGGGTTCATTGAGAGTCTTGGATCTCTAGATTTATAGTTTCAGCTATTATTTTTTCAAATATTTTTTCTGTCCATTCCTATTTTTCTCTTCTTCTGGAACCCCAGTTAATATATTTGGCCATTTGAAATTGTCCCATTGCTCACTGATGATCTGTTCTTTTTTTCATCTTTTTTCTGTTTCCCTTTAGATAGTTTTATTACTGTATCAAGTTCACTACTGTTTTTGTCTGTAATGTCTAGTGTTCTTAATTCTATCTAGTATATTTTTTCTTCTCAGACTTTGGGGTTTTCATCTCTACAGTTTTGTTTGGAGTGATTTTTTATATCTGCCATGTTTCTCCTTAACATACTAATGCTTTCTATCTTTTTGATCGTATGGAATGTATCTTATTTCAATGTACTTGGCTACAAATTCTGTCTTCTGGCTCATTTCTGGGTCTGTTTTTTTATCCTAATTATGAATCATGTTTTTCTAATTCTTCCCATGCCTGGTAATTTTTTATTTGATGACAGACATTTTGAATTTTGTATTGCTGAGTGCTGGATTTTTTTTTTTTTTTTTTTTTGCCTTTTAACTATTTTTGAGGATTGGGATAAAGTTAAATTTGGGAACAGTTTGATCCTTTCTAGTCTTACTTCAAAGCTTTGTTAGTGAAACCAGAGAAGCCTTTACTCTAGGGTTGATTTGACATCGTTCGATACTAAAGTAGTACCTTTCTGAATATTCAACCGACTGCTGCAGGGATTGTGAGGGTTCTTGAGCTGTTCCAGCCATGTGTGTGCTACTGGAATTGTTCCACCTGTTCCTTTATGGTGGTCCTTCCCTGGCTTTGGGTAGTCTCCTTACCTGCATGCTCTGATTATTGAAGACTCGAGCAAATCTCTAAGTGCCTCTCTGGTGCAGTTCTTTCCTCTCCGGTTCTCTTGTTCTAGCCTCCTTTGCCTCCTCAAATGTCCTACTGTGTCTGTGTAACCTCAGGGAGGTTGCTGGGCTCTCTTAGGGCTCCCCCTTCCTGTGCTGTACCCTAGAACTCTCTCTAGGCATTAAGCCAGAGTAATTGGAGGCTCCTTATTTATTTCCCTTTTCTTAAGGATCACTATTTTGTGCTGCCCATTGTCTGGTGTCTGAATGCTATTTTTTCATACGAGTTTTAGTTCTTTAAGGTTCAGTCCAGTCTATCATACTCCATCATTACCTGACACAGAAAACTGACTTCTGTATCGTTTCATTTATTACCAGAATAAATCTTTATTCATATAAAAATTAATAAGGGTGATGTCTTTCTCACAGGGACTAAATTAGATAATACATGTGAAAACCATGCTGTAGACGGTAAAGTGCCACAAAGAGCCTGCCTAGGAGCGAGCCCCTTCTCCCGGTGGCCGTGGGTGTCTGTACAGGAGCAGGGCCTGATGGCCAGAGGACGCGGGGTTTCTGAAAGACCACTGAGCTCCATGCGTCTCGGTGTGTCATTGCATGTGTTCTGTGCTGTGTGAATTCACGCGTTCATTTACTCAACAGACATTTATTTATTTATTTGTTTATTTTTTGAGACAGAGTCTCACTCTGTTGCCCAGGCTAGAGTGCCGTGGCGTCAGCCTCGCTCACAGCAACCTCAGACTCCTGGGCTCAAGCCATCCTTCTGCCTCAGCCTCCCGAGCAGCTGGGACTACAGACATGCACCACCATGCCCGGCTAATTTTTTCTTTATATGTTAGTTGGCCAATTAATTTCTTTCTGTTTATAGTAGAGACAGGGTCTCACTCTTGCTCAGGCTGGTTTCGAACTCCTGACCTCGAGCAATCTGCCCACCTGGCCTCCCGGAGTGCTGGGATTACAGCCGTGAGCCACCGCGCCCAGCCTGCTCAACAGACATTGATTAAACACCTGTATGCTGGGAACCGTTTCAGGCCCTAGAAAGCTCTGCCTCAAAGAGCCCGTGCTCTAGCGGCATGTTTTCTTCCGTGTGTGTCGGCCGTCCACGTCTCGTGAATCTCTCTCTGTGGACGCGACTCACTCTGTCTCTGGGCCTCTGTGTGAGAGCTTGTTTCCTTCTGTCTTTATTTCCTCTGTTTTCTTTCCCTGTGTATCTGACCTTTCCACATTAGCTTGTTCCTTGTTTCATCCAGTCTTGTTGTTACAATATCGCTTTCTTTCCTCTACTGATCATTCTTTTTTCCTTTCTAAGTAAAAGAACAGTCCTTATAAAAGCTTACAAGGCACTTACAAGGCTTTAAAAGCTCTGGGCTCCCCTGCTGACCTCTTTGAACTCCGCTCATCACTGAACCCTGCTCATTTCACTCCAGCCACGCTGACCCCTTGCCTCCGTCGTCTCTGGAAAACACCAGCATGGTCCTACCACAGGGCCTTTGCACCTGCAGTTCCTTCTGCCGCGAATGCTCTTCATTCATATGTCCGCATCTTCTCCCTCACTTCTTCCACGTCTTTGCTCAGGAGTCGTCTTTTCACCAAGGGTCCTTCCTGACCTCTCCCTGTTTTAAAGTTCTGTGCCTTTTTCTACTGCCGCTCCTGTTCCCCATTCCTACCTTATCTTTCTTGATTGTAATTATTATCTTCTAAATTATATTGTGTAATTTACTGCGTTCTTTTTTCCTCTTTGTTGTCATGCTAGCATATAAATTCTATGAGGGCAGAGCTTCTTTTACTGCTGACAAAAGCACCTAGGATAGAATAGATATAGAATAGAATAGAATAGAATAGAATAGAATAGAATAGAATAGAATAGAATAGAATAGAATAGGATAGAATAGGATAGAATCTGCATAAATATTTCTTGAATAAAAGAGTCTCCTTGGTAAAGTCCTTCTTTGTTTGCTGTAGTATATTTACTGAGTACACATCTTCGTTCCATGTACTTTATTTAAAAAATGAATGGCTGGAGCATTTTATATATTTTCTTAAAATCCCCTCAATTGTTCTATTTAGCTTATTAAAATATTTTATTCTACAAGTATGTAGCCTTCCCGATAAAAGGTTCTCCATCTCTAATTACATGTCTACTTGGATGACAAGTCTAATGGTCATCAATAACTCCCACAACCTTACAGATAACCCTGGAGGAAGGGGCGTTCCAGGTAGACTTTAAATGCCATTCAGAAACCCAAGCATGATTCAAAAGAAAAAATATCCTCCCAAATATAACATTCATCTTATTCTTAAAACGAAAAAAAAAAAAAAAGATTAATACTACATTTGGAATTTTAAATTTTTATACAAATTCCATAGAAAATACTTTAAAATGAGTCCAGGTAAAACTTCTTGTTAAGATACACACACATACACACAAATATATATCCACTCTCTTAATCACAATTTGGAAATCTAATGAGCTCTGAAAACCAAAAGTTTCTTCGATGTTTACTAAACCCAAACTGACTGGATATGCAGCTGTTTATAGTCTTTATTTTTCCATTTGCTAAGGCTAGTTATATGTTTCGCTACAGAAATATTAGGGTATTTGATTACATTGTGCGCCCCAGACCTGCTGAGAGAATTATTAAATGTGTGGTATATGCCATATATTACCTCTCTAACATAAAAAAAAAAAACCTGAGTTCTGAAATGCATCTAGCCCCAAGGGATTTGGATGAGACATTGAGGACCTATGTGTTTTTTTAAACCTACTTTACTGAAGTGAAGCCAGACTCTCTAGTCATCCATTGACTGCCTAACTTTGGTTGTTGTTGTTGCTGCTGTTACTGTTTTTTTCTCCAGCTTTGCAAACCTGGGTATACTGCATGTGACAAAGAAAAAAGTATTTGAAACACTGGAAGCACGAATGATAGACGCGTGTATAAGGGGCTATAATCCTGGACTCTTGGTGCACCCTGACCTTGCGTATTTGCAAGCGGAAGGTGGTGGGGACCGCCAGCTCACAGGTGAGCATCACTCTCGCCACCTTGCCCTGCCAAGAAGCCCAGGCTTTGGTTTCCTTGTGTGCAGACTGCATTCATCTGTATGCCTCCTAGTCTGTAGTCCCTGCCACTCCCACCCTTTTTCTGCTCAGAAACCTTGGATGGCACCCTGCCCCTCCCACAGTAACACCTGTGCCTCCAGACTGGTGTTCATAGCCCTCCCAGTAAGCTCCAGCACCTTTCCAGCCTCCTCCAGCCCACCCTGTACCTACCTCTCGCTGTCATGGCTCTCTGAACACCTGATGCAGATTTGTGCCTTTGGATGTGTCTTCCTCTATCTAAAACACCCCACCCTTCTCTTTGCAACCTGTCAAAACCAATGCATAGTTCAAGGCTTAGTCTAAAGAACACCTCCTCTGTTATACCTCCCCCAGCTCGCCACATTGTAATGCAGCAGAAGAGGCATTTGCTCTGTATCTTGAAGGGATGGTAGAATTTGAACATATTCATATAAGAGAGTGGATAAGGTATTGAGAATGTAAAAATCAACTTTTTAGATCTTCCCAGAGCTGGCCCAATCTGCATTTCCAACTCTGTTTCCCACCATGCCCCTTCATGTGAAAGTGAATTACTCTGTAGGAGCACCATGATTTCTCACTTCCCTGGTTGGGCACATTCTTTCTATTCTTGCTGTCTCCTCTTCCTGGACACCTTATTGACTCTCTTATATGAATATGTTCAGATTCTACCACTCCTTCAAATACAGAGCAAACGCCTCTTCTGCTGCAGAGCCTCCGCACTCTCCCTCCTTTGAAATTCCATAGTGCTTCATCTATAGCTCTTTGTAGTACTATCAAGTGCTTATTACCTTTTATGGTATTATAAATTAAGTATGACTATAGCCATCAGCATGAAAACTCCAGCAGGAGGGAAGGAGCCAAATGTAATTGAGCCATTCGACTCCTTCAGAAGTACTTTTTGAGCACCTACTATGTGCCAGGCCCTACGCTTGGCACTGAAATGAGCACAGTCCGTGTGCTCAACAAGTTTTCGGAATAATTAAGTTTTGCATTTCTCATACAAATCAAAACCACATGAGATATCATTTATCCCCAGTGAGAATGGCCTTTATCAAAAAGTCCCAAAACAATAAATGTTGGCATGCATATAGAGAAATAGGAACACTCCTACACTGCTGGTGGGACTGCAAACTAGTGCAACCTCTGTGAAAAGCAATATGGAGATATCTCTAAGAATTACAAGTAGATCTACCATTTGATCCAGCAATCCCATTACTGAGCATCTACCCAAAAGAACAAAAAACATTCTATAAAAAAGACATCTGCACTAGGATGTTTATGGCGGCACAATTCACAATTGCAAAGATGTGGAAACAACCCAAATGCCCATCAATACATGAGTGAATTAATAAAATGTGGTATATGTATACCCTGGAGTACTATTCAGCCACAAAAAGCAATGGTGATCTAGCACCTCTTATATCCAGCTCTGGATAGAGCTGGAACCCATTCTACTAAATGAAGTATCCCAAGAATGGAAAAATAAGCACCACATGTACTCACCAGCAAATTAGTATTAACTGATCAACACTAATGTATACATTCAGTAGTTAACATTCATCAGGTGTCGGGCAGGTGGGGGGGAGGGGGGATGGGCATATTCACACCTAATAGGTGAGGTGCGCACCATCTGGGGGATGGACATGCTTGAAGCTCTGACTTGGGTGGGGCAAGGGCAACACACATAACCTAAACATCTGTACCCCCATAATAGGCTGAAATAAAAAAAATATTTTTTTGCATTTCTCAATACAGGCGATGCTTATTAAACTTACTACATCCCATTCTGTCACATCCTTTGTGCCTTTAACTCTTACTGTAGAGAGAAAAGGGAGAGGTGGGGGAGCACAGCACAGGCGATACATGGAAGGCAGTTTTTACTACAGTCCAGAGCAAATGCAGGTCTTCTTTGATGCCTTTAATTTTGGATGACATAAGTGAGATTTTTTTTAACATTTTACTCGCAATATGAAGAATTTCAAAAGAGAAGAAAATGAGGTTTTTGGTAAGTTTTTACACTTACGAGAAGTACGCCGTTTTAAATGTTCTCCCTGCCTGCTTTCCCTGGGAACGAACGGCACGCGTGCGGCGCTAGACCGGGAGAAGGAGCTCGTGCGCCAGGCGGCCCTCCAGCAGACCAAGGAGATGGACCTCAGCGTGGTGCGCCTCATGTTCACCGCCTTCCTCCCCGACAGCACCGGCAGCTTCACGCGGCGCCTGGAGCCCGTGGTGTCCGACGCCATCTACGACAGCAGTGAGTCCTGGACTTCTCGGGGCGCTGGGTGGGACGCCGAGGATAGACTTTCAGCCCTGCCCACCCTTTGCTTACCAAAGCAAATACTAAGACCTAGCTGAAGAGGTTGATGTCCAGATTAAATGAGATATTTTAAGAGTTGCTCAATAAATGATCTTTCCTCAGATGTGCATTTTCTAGTCTTTTACATGCAATACCAAATTTCTTATTATTTGTGAACACATTGCTATAAAGAATACATTATTGGTACTCTTAGAAGGGAAAAGTATCTCAATATTTTTCTTTGGGGCTCTGAAGAGAAGTTAATAAAAGACAAGTATAATTTTTATCCATCTTCATTCCTGCTTGTTACCAGCTTTATCAAGATAGGAACTTTAGGATAATTGAATGGATAGTATAGATAATACGTGACTTTAAATTTCTATTCAGTTTATAATTCCCAGAATTTTTTACGAGTTTTACAGTCATCTTCAGTACTTACCATGCAACTTTCTTGTTTGGTATACATGGGATTTATTAAACAGATATTTCCAAAAAGCCTGCAAGTACAGTATCTTAGGCTCATTGAAAGTTTTTATAGTATTTGGTATAAGTAGAAAAATCCATGCTCTAAGTACAACTATTTCTCTAATTTAAATAAGTTTCAAGGGAAGTGAAAATGTTATAAAATCATACAGCCTCATGTACCACAGATCACCTTAAAATGCAGCTGGTTAGAGCAAAGAAAAATAAAACTTTATACTATTACCACATGAAACTTTTGCTTCTTCCCCACCCTGAATCCTAATTTAGTTTGGGAAAAGGAAATATAACGTCTCCATATTTCTTCTTTTTAGAATAAAATTAATGATTAGTATAAGGAAATTGTGCTTTCCCTAATTTTTTTAGGACTGTTATGAATGATGTAGCAGTATCATGAAAACAGGTTTGGGGTTAAAGTCCTTGACCTGATGGAAATCCCAGAAATCCGTTGTCTTGGTGCTTCCTGAAACATGAGAAACACTCCTTCTCTTTCTGTATCAGTCTCTTTTTCTGTTTGGGAGGAGAAGCGAATGGCTGTTCATTTCTACCTCGTCTGTTTTGATGACAGTGAATGACCCATGCCTAAGAAGTGTGCTGAGAACTTTAGATGCCATTCTTATTTTATCTGTGTCATTATATTTTGTTTTATTTGTTTCATCTTGTAATATGAGTGGAAGCATCTCTTTAAACTTTGTTTTGGTAATGTGCACTCAGGGCAGAGTTGTGAAGCTGAGATTAAACCAGGATATTTGATGTTTTTCCCCTGTGAACAGAAGCTCCCAATGCATCCAACTTGAAGATTGTAAGAATGGACAGGACAGCTGGCTGTGTAACTGGAGGGGAAGAAATCTATCTTCTCTGTGACAAAGTTCAGAAAGGTAAATACATGCGCCGGTCTCAAGATGTGAGACACAATTCTGAGTGTGATTGTGAGTCACATTTTTGTCAGCAGAACAGAAATGTCCCCATTTTGCCACAGAATGCCTTAAAAACATTTAAATTTTACCTCTTCCAAATGTAAGTTGTCTGTGTTATTTTTTTGAAACCCAACCAATTCATTTCTAAATTTCCTGCAAAAGTAAAGAGAAATAAGAAAATAGTGATAATTACAATCCATGATTTTCAGTCCTTTTATACCTTAAACATTGATATCTGATGTCTGTACTCAGTTAAACCAAATGAGGGTTAGCCCATGTGTAACACACAAACACACAGAGAGAATAAATAATAAGTTTTACGTAGTGTGAAACTGTTGATTCTGTTTATTTTGCAATGCTTTGTTCTGACACTGGCGAGCTTCTCCAAGCACTTCAACTTGACCCTGTGATGTCAGCTGAGAAAAGGAAAGAGAAAAAGGAACATGAGGAAATTCCCAGAGCACACTTCTCTCACAGTTTTCACTTTGAGAAAAGGGTCTTGGCATTTATCTCTTATTAGATATAAGATTGATGAATTAGGAAAAGCTGGAGGAAATTATGTGTCATTTTCTCAAACTTCACTCATTTTTTAAAAAAGTGATAGAAGGAAAGTACAGTATAATAAAGATCTATTTACTGCAAAGTGAGCATTTTCAAACTAAGCAGATACCTTGCTGGAAATATAAATAAAATAAGTAAAATAAACAAAGGAAGTATGGCTATTCCAAAAATTCTCATTTGAGGTTAAATACTCTGAGGTATAAAGTCAGAAAAAATGGGATCATTTTTTAAAGTAAAGATATATATATTTTTATGCAGGAAAGTTTACACTTCCTCTTACACTGGTGTCGGCCTTCTTCCAACCACTCTATCCAAGTAATACTCATTTCCAGATTGCTGGGTGTGCATACTATGAGTAAGCCCAATCTGGGCACCTTTTGTTGTAAATGCAATTCTTAGTCATTATTGCAATGGAATGGCTTGATAAGAAAAACCTTGTACTTGGCCTAGAGAATCTGAATAACTAGGTTGAGGCAGTCTTACCTGAAGGCAAAGGAATGCACCAGGGGTAATGAGATTATTTTATCCATCTCTATTATTTCTAAAATTCTATTTAAATAGAAATATAAACTTTGTTTCATAAGCCATTAGTATGCTCCTTCCTATGAAATGGAAACTGAAGCCAGGGAGATGCCAAACTGAGTTCGGTTGTCATGAAGTAGAGTCCATGACTAGAGTGTGAAATGTATACATGCTAATTTCATCAGAAGGGACCTGATCGTCATAGTATTTTGACCAGTTACTCATTATGGACGAGAAAATATTATAAGGAGGCAATATGGTAGAATGTTTAAGAGCCTGGACGCTGAAATTTTACTGTTTGTGTTCAAATCCTGTTTCCTTCATTTACAAGCAGTTCAACTTTGGATAAGTTATATAGCCTTTTTGGACTGTAGATTCTCTTCTGCAAAATAATAATAATAGTACATTACAGGTTTGTTGTGGGAAGTAAATAAGTTGATATATACAAATAAAGCAGTTTGAATAGCATCTGCCATATAGTATGCCTTATGTAAGTTAATTGTTATTATATACATCTGTATATTGAGTTTAACCACCTTGGGGATCCTAATGTGCCTCCACCATCCTTCATGTTTCTCAAGATTGAATATTTTTTTAATGATGAAGAAATGGTTAGGTCAAAGATTGATTAAGAAAAAATTCATATTGATTAGGTAAATCTAGTATTCTCTGTCATTGTAAGCTAAACGTGGGGCTCATTCCTGTGGCAAGTAATAAAAAAAAATCAGTGATTTGTGAAAATTCTAAATGACTCTAACATCTATTTCATATTTTTTAAAGTTTAAGTAGATAACAGGGAGACTCTTGAACCAGCTTTATTTTCCAGCATGTCTGTAAATGCCATCACACTATGTGAAATGTTTGCAGATGACATCCAGATTCGCTTTTATGAAGAGGAGGAAAGCGGCGGAGTCTGGGAAGGGTTTGGAGACTTTTCCCCCACAGACGTTCATAGACAAGTGAGTAGGTCATTGTCATTATCATTTCATATCTTCTGCCTTGTTGAAATTCAGTACTAAGTTTCCATCTATGAAAAAGAAAAAATCATAACTATTTATTTAACTCTCATAAAATAGTACTGTTTTTAAGACTCTTCCAGGTCATCCAGAAAAGCTGCCCACTGTGGAATTATGGGCAGGATTCATTAGACTGTTGGCTCTGAGATGTTGGCAGGACGTCTGGTGTCTGATCGCCTAGCCCATAAGACAGGGGCCCTAAGGTCTTTTAAGGTCTTTTCCTGAAAATGTTTTAAGTGTTCTACCAAAGTAATGGTGAGACCTATTAAAAGGGTATTATTGAAAGTGTTAAAAGCAGGAGTCTTCTAATTGAAGTTGATGTCATCCTCATAAATTAAGATTTCCCAGTGACGATTATACGACTAAGAGATAACAATGCTGAATTCCCACCTTAATGGTTACTCTCCTATTTATGAGTTATTAAGGCATACTAGTCTCACAAAAAATTGGAAAAAAATCCAAATGTTCATCATTAAGTGGTCAATTAAATAAATTATGGTATATCTAGTCGATGGAATATTGTATAGTTACTAAAAATAATGAGTACTCTGCAAACCTCAAAGACCTCAAACATGTAATGTTAAAATATTTTAAAAGACAGGTATGAAACAAAGTGCATATGAAAATGGTTCTATGTTCATATTTGCATGTGCATAAAGGATCTCTGGAAGGATACATACATAAGTAATTAATAATGGTGTTTACCTCTGAGGAATTGGCTTACTGTAGGAATTGCATGAATGGGGTCAGGGATGGCAGAGAGAATCATTGTGTATACCATTATATACTTTTTAATATTTTACAAAATCTTCATTCCTATGAATATATTACATAGTCCAAAAATCAAACTAAAAATGTTAAAATGCCTAACTATTCTAGCACCACCAAGAATTAATGTGGTATAATGCCTCTCTCGGCGGGATTTGGTTTCCTCTTCATATCACTAGCCTTCAGCCATCTCTCACCTTCTATACCCAGCCTTTCTGATGTTACTATACATAATCTTGTAGGCCTTTAAGGCTTATTTGGAAGAGAAGAAGGAAATGTAAACAGTGAATTTTATATGCATATTTGCAACTATAAGGCATTTGAAATATTAGACAAATGAAATAATAAATATTTGAAATACATTAGCATAGTGTTGTATTTCAGTTTCACAGTGACAATTTAATAAAAATGTATGAGTATAGAATTCTGAGTTTGGAACTTTCTCCAGTATGCTGTGTTTTGTAGTACTGGATATAAAGAAAAGCATAAGGAATTTGTTTAATGAGTAGCACTGATGCAAAAAAAAAAAAATGTAGTCCTACATAAACATTTGGATCTTTGTATCCTGCAGTTTGCCATTGTCTTCAAAACTCCAAAGTATAAAGATGTCAACATTACAAAACCAGCCTCTGTGTTCGTCCAGCTTCGAAGGAAATCTGATTTGGAAACTAGTGAACCAAAACCTTTTCTCTACTATCCTGAAATCAAAGGTAACTTGGTTGTTTACACTCTTGTGTATACTCTTTTGTTCCCAAAAAATATTAAGGTGTAAAAATGTTTTTATTATATGAATTGCTCTTGTAATTTTTTAGCCACAGCTATAAGTGTGCCCATTACCTGAATAGTCCTTGTTCTGGTAAGAGGACAAGCTGATTAGAAAAGATCAATTAGTCACCTTTTTTGAACAGCTTCCTAGTAATTGGCTCCTGAATCCATGGTACTTATTTTTTAGAGAAGAGACAGGTATTATACTATTTTGAGGTCATAACACTAGTCCAGCCTTTTAAAATAGTGTTATTTCCACCAAGCTTACATGAGATTTAGACATTCGACAATTTGAATTTGAGAGTCTAGCATTTAGTAAGTAACTCAGGGTTCAGGTAGTTGAGATGAAAGATTAGGCTTGATGTTCAGGAGAATTAACCACTTAGCCATCCAGCCTCAAGCAGTTCAACAGAAATCTCAGCTGCTGTGCAGTGCAGAGCTGTCAAAATGAATAAGACATCATTCTTTCCTTCACAAAAGGTACTTTAAGAAAGGGAGTAATGATGTCCTTAAACAGTTGTCATGCAAATTATGATTTTACTAAGTGCCAAATGTAAAGCATCCAGATGCACATGTGAGAGTGTTGAGAAGAGAGCCTCTAGTCCCTTGATTCCAAAGAAGGCTTCTTGAATGAGATCTCACTTGGTTCTTATGAAGTGGGGGTATATTTAAGCAGGTGGATATTAAACAGAGAGGCTCAGGTCACTTGAGGAGCTCAGGAACAGAGGTAAGCACAGCTCGTGTGTATTCAGAGGGAAATGAGCATTATGAGCGCTAAGATGGAGTGATGAAGGCCAGGGCAGGTAAGGAGGGCCAGGGCCAGGCTGTGGGAGGCTGTGAGTGGCAGCTAAGGAATTCTGTCTTGGTTCTGGAGAGAGATGGTCACACCTGCCTGGGATTGGAATGACGGTGCTGACTTCTGTATGTTGGGAGGCAGACAAGTCAGAAGAGTACTGCAAAAATCCAGGTGAGAAATGGTGAGGTCAGGAAAGGTGTTAGTGCTAGGAACGAAAGGAGACAGTGGGCTCAAGAGACAGTGCGGGCTTGGCGTCACGAGGCCCCGGGCTCTGGCTGACAGGGAGGCTCAGGAGAGGTCAGAGGTCACGATGGTTCTAGGGTCCCCAGATGAGGAAGCTTGTGATGTGGTTGGCTTGATGCAGGGAACAGGGAGCAGAAGTAGGTTTGGGTGGGAAAAGAGGGAGCTCAGTGTAAAACATGCTCCATTGTAGGTTCCCGCAAGAAATTCAAGTGTAAGTTCCTAGTAGGCCGATCAAAAGGTAGGACGAGCACTTAAAAGAGGGCAGGGTGGGAAATTCAGCATTGAGAATCACCCTAGAGTGAGATGTGACAGGCACAAAGACTGGACAGTCATTCAAAGGTGTTTCTAACCTAGAGTCCATTCACACACAAGGAGGCCACGGATAGAAATGTACTTCAGTATCATCAGCTTCTTTTGTAATCCTATTTTGTATTCTGTGCGTTAAAAACCATGATTCTGAGGAGAGATCCATGGAGTTCACCAGACGCCTGAGGGGCTGTGGCACCAACAAAATTAGAAACCCTGGGCGAGAAGGAAGTGAGACTAGAGAGGGGTCAGGAAAATGACTGCCTCGGGGTCCCCAGGTCCTGGCTGCGGTTGGGGTCCCCAGGCCCTGGCTGCGGTTGGAAACCACAGAGGGGCGGCCGCAGCGGCAGCGAGCTGCGCGGGGGCTGGGTCTCGTGAGACGAGGGGTGTGCTGGGACCTGGGGAGGCCTTTCCTTTCCTAGAATTCATGCTGTGGCAGAAGCGTCTAGAAAACAGTTTCTGTGAGTTCTTACCATCTGTGAGATGGTACCCTCTCCCTTGGGGGTCAGATTTGTAGTGCGCGCTCCACACTGGACGTTTGAAGACGTCGGCTCAGGAAGCTTCTTGGCCTCCACGTGAAACCGCGTGCAAAGTCCAGGGCACGGAGGAGCGGGCCTGGCGCAGGCCCCGCCGCCGCCTCAGGCCCTCCCCGCCTGCCTTCAGCCTCCCTCGGCCCAGGCTCCCACCCGCCTCGGCCACCCGCCTCAGGTCCGCTCGCTCTGCCTGGGGTACCCCCTGCCCTCGGCCCTCCCCGCCCACCTCGGCCTCGCCCAAGCCCCCTCCCGCCTCGCCCGCTCAGGCCCCGCCGCTGCCTCGCCTCCCCTTCGGCAAGCTCCCGCTCGCCCGCCTGCCCCCCCCGCCTCAGGCGCCGCGCTGCTCGCCCTCCCACTTCGGCAAGCCCTCCACCGCTCGGCCCTGCCCTCTGCCCCCTACTCTCGCCCTCCCGCCTGGCCCCCACCTCAGCCTCCTCCTCGCTGGAGCTGCCGGCGTCTTCTGGGTGCTTTGCCTACACAAAGCCATGTGAAATTAGTGCTTTGGGTTAAATATCCTTTTCTAAAAGTAGATGTAGAAGAGAAATGTGGCTAATTTGGGGGTACTTTCTGAAGAAAAAAAATTTTTCCCTCCTGAAATATATCTTCAAAATGTCAATTTTTGCTAACACAGAGAATCATAAAAAAAAGAAAACACACGTATGAACCAGAAACATTCAAAATTGGTTTCTAAGGCTGCTTGTGTGACGCACAGATACCTTTCCCAGTGGTAGCTGTGCGTCAAAAAAAGTACGCTGTCGCAGGTCATGTTCAGATGATTGCGTTCCCGCTAACCTGTCATACTAGATAGCTCACGCTGGGTTAGAGAATGGCGTTTCCTAAAAGTTCAAAATCACACCTATTTACTTCAAGCACATACCTTCCAGGCTATCATTAGTTAAAAGCTTCATAGAATACAAATAGTATAAGAACCATCTCCAAAAATAGCAGAGTTAGCCACTGAGATCCACAGAAAGAATGGCCAACATGTATATATTGTGATTGAGTCGTTATGAGAATATAACTGTTTTATTAGAGAATAGCAAATTAGCTTACACTATAAAAGCTTCTGGATTATAAAAACTCAAGATAATAAGCCCAAGGAGAAATAATGTCACCAGGCAGTGTGATGGGTCAGAAAAGTAGCAGGCCATTTAGCATTAGAGAAAATATATGGAAATGAATCCAAACTGCACAACCCAGGGAATCATTGTACACATTTCTGAGAAGTTATTGAACACAACTTCTACTACATCCTAGTCCCTAATTTTATATTAGTCATTATTTCATCAATATGTAAACTTACCTACTTATTTATCTATCGTCTTCCTCCTACCCCAGTAGGAAGAATCTTCTTTAGGTCCCAGACTTGGTCATTCCTGTTCACTGCTGTTGTTTTTAGCTTCTAGAGCAATGTATGTCCTCACATAGTAGATGCTCATTAAATACCTGTGGACTGACTTATTGGTTGTCCAACCAAGTTACTATCCTCTTCCATAAGGCAAGTGGTATGTTGGATACTATCAAGTAAGACATTAGACATAGATACAAAACATTCTCCTCTCATTATACAGAATCATTCAGCCCCGAATCTATGGTCATTAGCATCATACCTCACAAAAACTTCATGGAGATGGTCGGGTCCAGGGGGACAATTAAAATCATCCAGGGAAAGGAGTATTGGCAAGGGAAGAACGTAGTTGAGGAGTTGCTATATGAAAGCAAAGAAAGATCATAATGATTTTTCAGTCTAAAAAGATGGAGAATGGGAAGAAACACAATCATAATCTTTAAATTATGGAAGGTATGGTCAGGATAAATACAGGCATCTTTACTGGTCAGTGGGAACTGGAAGAGAGAGAAGGTGGCACTTTTAAGGTACCTCCTTAAAGTATGTGCACAGGAAAACATGGTAGAAGGTAAAAGTTTACTTGTACTTATGAATTAAACTATTATCTAAAGCAGGGGTCCTCAAACTTTTTAAACAGGGGGCCAGTTCACTGTCCCTCAGACCGTTGGAGGGCCATTGGAGAGTGCAGCGCACATTCCACACATGCGCACTGCGGGCCCGGGACGAGTCGGCTGCTAAGCAGGACAGGCAGAGGTGGCAAAAACACCCAGTGGGCAGGATAAATGTCCTCGGCGGGCCACATGTGGCCCTCGGGCCGTAGTTTGAGAACCCCTGATGAAGTCATTAATTATTTAAAGTTATTGATTATTACTGTACAAAACAATTTTGGAATGTCTCCCAAAGAATGGCAGCCTCATGCAGTAGAAGGGTCACTAGTCTTCGGGTCTGCTTTTCACTGTGCCCTGAGCTCACCAGTCACCTCCCCACCCTAGCTTCAGTTTCCTCTTCTGTAAAAGAGAACTTATAGCAAGAGGTCACCTAGGTCCCTTCTCAAATAGGTCAGTGTTTCATTGTACGTTCCACAGTGCCACTCTCAGAGGCAGACCACAGGGACGAATGAAACCAGGGTGGAAATCTCCATGTTCAATTCTATGGCAGTTCCAACTCCAGGTTCTTTCCTATAGCTCGTGTGGAATTTTCTGTCAGTTTCTTGTCATTGAAATCTTACTGGCTGTATTATAGTTAATATTTTTGAAAATTCACCCTTAAAAATTCCCATTTGACAGTGAAATATAACTAGTGAACATTTTTCTGCTTTAAAAGGCAGAAGGAGTACCTAGAAAATACTGATTGGTCTCTTTACCAGAAACCATGTTAAATAGATAATATTTTTCTGAAGATGAATAAGTTATCTGCTTCCCTCTTGTATCCCAGATTTCTATAGTGAACTATTTTATGTGAGAGCAACAGTTTATAGGATGAGTAATGATTATAGCTATTAATTAGTTATGATAGAACTGATGTAGAAATTTCATAAATCTGTCCAAAAATTTTTGCTAAGGAAATTGTTAAAGTTTCTCTACTTCAAGGTCATCGCCTTCTAAGTGGAAGCATATTTTTCTCAAAATTTGCCCACTTTGGCATTTTTCTTCCTAAGAAGTCTGGACATGCTCCGTTTTTAAATGATTAGTTAAGTGTGCTTTGTCAGCCTACGTTCTCCTGCTTCATCTTTCAACTGCAGTTAGATGATCTTGAGATAACCAGGAAACAGTGGCCTTCTACCTAGCCCTGCAATGACTGCAACTACCACAGGGTTAGAAATGAGTGAAGATCTTTCTGAACTTAAACAATGATAAAAACTGACATTAAAGAATCAGAAATAGGACAGCTATTAAGTATTGGGCTGCTGATTGTAAAAGGAATACCATATTGACTGTGCATTTAATTAAAAAAAAAAAAAAACCCTTCTTTCTTTCTCCAGCCCAAAAGATATGGTAGGAAAATCATAAAAGAGAAAGAAAGGGAAACGGAGAAGTGAGAGCACGTAACAGGCCACAGAGGCAGAGACAGAGCTCAGAAGGGAGAGCGGGGCTGGCAAGAAGCAGAGACAGTGAGAAACAGAATAAAAGCAGAGCAGCCAGGTGAGATGATGAGGGAAGGAGCCTGAACAGCGCCCAGACCCGGACAACAAAAGACTCAGAGGGCATCACTGTGTCTTAGTCAAGTAGAGGTCTTAGAATTTTAGCCTCCGTGTCCCATGAGAGCTGCAGACCCCTCTTGCATTGTGTTTCTGGGGCCCACCTCATTCTTATTACCATGGTGACCACTAAGGAACAGGCCTCCATGACCTCAGGTCTTCACTGTCTTTGCCTCTCACTTTGAGCCTGTAGCGTGTCCTACACACAGATGACATATGACTCTTCCTAAAATACCTCCCTGTACACGTTGTTCCCCCGTTCAGAAACGTTCAGCAGCTCTCCTGTCTGTAAGTTAAATTTCTTAGGTTCGTATCTCAGGTGCTCCACAGTGTGGTCCCAATTACACCCATTTCTCAAGGTTTCTTATACAGACATACCTTGTTTTATTGCGCTTTGCAGATAATGCATTCTTTTACAAATTAAAGGTTTGTGGCAACTCTGCATGGAGCCATTCTGTTGCAGTCTGTTGGTGTCATTTCTCCAAGAGTATTGGCTCACTTCATTGCCTCTGTGTCATATTTTGGTAATTTTCTCAATATTTCAGACTTGTTTATTATTATTATATCTGTTGTGGTGGTCTGTGATCAGTGATGTTACTATTGCAACTGTTTTGGGGCACCATGAACTGTGCCCCCATAAGATGACAAACTTAATCAGCAGGTTGGTGTGTTCTGATTGCTCCACCAACAGGCCGTTCCCCCATCTCTCTCCATCTCCTCAGGCCTCACTATTACCTGAACCACAACAATACTGAAATTAGCCCAATTAATAGCCCTACAATGGCCTCTTCAAGAGAAAACAAGAGTCATGACTCTCACTTTAACTCAAAAGCTACAAATGATTACACTAGTGAGGAAGGCATGTCAACAGGTGAGGCAGGCTGAAATCTAGGCCTCTTGTACCAAACAGTTACCCAAGAATGCAAAGAAAAGCTTCTTGAAGGAAATTAAAAGTGCTACTCCAGTGAACACACGCATGATAAGAAAGTGAAAAGGCCTTATTGCAGATATGAAGAAAGTTTTCGTGATCTGGATAGAAGATAAAACCAGCCACAACGTTCCCTTATGCCAAGCCTAATCCAGAGCAAGGACCTAGCTCTCTTCAGTTTCATGAAGGCTGAGAGAGGCAAAGAAACTGCAGAAGAAAAGTTGGAAGCTAACAGAGGTTGGTTCATGAGGTTTAAGGAAAGAAGCCGTCTTCATACCATAAAAGAGCAAGGTGAAGCAGCAAGGGCTGATGTAGAAGCTGCAGCAGGGTATCCAGAGGGTCTAGCTAAGGTAAGTGGTGAAAGTAGCTACACTAAACAGCAGATGTTCAGTGTCAGTGAAGCAACTTTCTACTGGAAGAAGATGCCATCTAAGACTTTAATAACTAGAGAAGAGAAGTCAGTGCCTGGCTTCAAAGCTTTAAAATACAGGCTGACTATATTGTTAGACGCTAATGCAGAGGGTGACTTAAGTTGAAGCCAATGATCATTTACCCTTCCAAAAATCCTAGGGCCCTTAAGAATTATGCCTAATCTATCCTGCCTGTGTTCTATAAATGGAAGAACAAAACCTGGATGATAGCACATCTGTGTATAACACAATTTAATGAATATTTTAAAACCACTGTTGAGACCTACTACTCAGAAAAAAAGATTCCTTTCCAAATATTATTGCTCACTGACAATGCGCTTGGTCACCCAAGAGCTCTGATGGAAATGTATAAGGAAATTAATGTTGTTTTCATGCCTGCTAAGACAACATCCATTCTATAGCCCATAGGCCAAGGAATAATTTTTACTCAAAAGTCTTATTATTTAAGAATCACATCTCACAGGGCTATTGCTGCCAGTGACAGTGATTCCTCTGGTGGATCTGGGCAAAAGTAAGTTGAAAACCTTCTGAAAAGGATTCACCATTCTAGATGACATTCAGAACATTCATGATTCATGGGAAGAGGTCAGAATAGCCGCATTAACAGGAGTTTGGAAGAAGTTGATTCCAACCCTCATGTTCAACTTTAAGGAGTTGAGGACTTCTGTGGAGGAAGTAACTGCAGATGTGGTGGAAATAGAAAGAGAATGAAAAGTGGAGCCTGAAGATGGGACTGAATGGCTGCAATCTCATGACCAAACTTTAATTATGAGGAGTTGCTTCTTATGGATGAACAAAGAAAGTAGTTTCTTGAGATGGAACCTACTCCTGGTGAAGATGCTGTGAACACTGTGGAAAGACAACGAAGGATTTAGAACATTGCATAAACTTAGCTGATAAAGCAGCAGCAGGTGTGAGAGGACTGACTCTAGTTTGAAAGAAATTCTGCTTTGGGTAAAATGCTGTCAAGCAGCGTTGCCTGCTACAGAGAAATCTTTCATGAAAGGGAGAGTTCATTGGTGCAACAAACTTCATTGTTGACTTATTTTAAGAAACCACTACAACTATCCCAATCAGCCATGAACATCGAGGCAAGACCCTCCATCAGCAAAAGATTATGACTTGCTGAAGATAATCATTACAATTTTTTATCCATAAAGTATTTTTAAATTAAAATACGCACCTTGTGGCCGGGCGTGGTGGCTCACGCCTGTAATCGTAGCACTTTGGGAGGCCGAGGCGGGCAGATTGTTCAAGGTCAGGAGTTCGAAACCAGCCTGAGCGAGACCCCGTCTCTACCAAAAATAGAAATAAATTAATTGACCAATTAAAAATACATATACAAAAAATTATCCGGGCATGGTGGCGCATGCCTGTAGTCCCAGCTACTTGGGAGGCTGAGGCAGGAGGATCACTGAGCCCCGGAGATTGAGGTTGCTGTAAGCCAGGCTGACGCCACGGCACTCACTCTAGCCTGGGCAACAAAGTGAGACTCTGTTTCAAAAAAAAAAAAAAAATACGTACCTTGTTTTTTAGACATAATGCTACTGCACACTTAATAGACTACAGTATAATATAAACATAACTTTTAGATATACTGGAAAACCAAAACAATTCATGTGACTCGCCCTATCGCAATGTTCCAGAACTGAAGCAGCAATATCTCTGAGGTATGCCTGTGCTAAACATTCACTTTAGCCAAACTGACTCACAAGCACTCGGTACACGTTTTTCCTTCATCATTGTGTTCCCTGCACATCTCCTTTCCAGAACACCCTTCTTTTCCCTCTTCTTGCATGAAAGTGAATCTGAGAAGCCTTTTCTGAATTTCCCAGCCCCAAGGGACCTCCTAGAAGTCCTTCCCTGAACTCCTGGAACACTGGTCTCCACCATGACTGTGCCTGCACAGTGTCACGGGGCTGTCCTGCTAAGTCTTCCCTGCTACCTTAGATGACGTTGAAGGGCCCTTGATAGCAAAGGCATTATGTCATGCTTCTCTTTATTTCCAGCATTCAGCTCTTCGTGAATGCATAATAAATGTGAGCTGATTAGTAATATGTAGTTGTCTTGTGTGGCCAAGGAAAAGGGTTCAATAATTTTTTTTTAATTCTGTATCTTTAGTATCTTAATTTTTGATGGGCAATCTAATCTCTCACTAATTTTGACACCATTTGGGACTTGAGAAATTGTTGCAGAGTGGATTCGGGTGTGCACTGCTCTGTGGTCTCTCTGAGGCTAGTTTTTGGTCTTCGTACCCATTGGAACAAATATAATGCTTCTTGAAATGTGGCATCTCTTCCTCCTTGAGTGCTTTCTGTTTCCCTTTAAGATGTTTAAAAATACCAGCAGAATCAATAGTTCTATCTGTGGCTGGTGGTGGAACCGAATCAATCTTTTCTCCTCTGGTTTCTCTTCCTTTAATTGCAGATAAAGAGGAAGTGCAAAGGAAGCGGCAGAAGCTCATGCCCAATTTCTCGGACAGCTTCGGTGGCGGCAGTGGTGCCGGAGCTGGAGGCGGAGGCATGTTTGGTAGTGGCGGTGGAGGAGGGGGTGCTGGAAGTACAGGTCCAGGTACAAAAAACTCTATTCTTCCTAAAGCTTCTTTGTGTTGGAAGGGGTAGCATTTTCTTTTTCCTAGGTTTCTGAGCATGCCTGTGGGTTGAGTGGCCATGAAATTTTTTAGTGTATTAAAATTTCTTGACAAATTTAAATATATTTTTTGAAGAAATGCCTATTCATTTTACAGTATGTAGATAATCCTAAAAACTGTAAGAAGAAAAAAAGTCACCCAAGGCCACTTATCCAAAGAATACCTCCCTAAACATTTTGGTATATTTCCCCTTTACTTTTTTTTTTACATAGTTGTCTTATTCTTTGAAAACATTGAAAAGATTTTATATTATATATACTACATTGTAGATATATATTATACCACTCTACTACATTGTAGAAAATTTAAAGACATAAAATTCTGCCATCAAAGGTTAACCATTTCTAATTTTTTTCTGTATTCATTATGATATTTATGAATTTCTTCTGAATATGTCTATGATCATCATTACACATATTACTTTAATCCATTAATTTGTGTTAGTTTTTTATTATCATTGTGCCGTGACTGTCTGTATACAGTCATGTGTGCTGCTTTTACTGAATGTGTTAATATAAGCATTTCTCTACGGTAGTATAAACTTTATGTAAGCATTATTTTTAAGCATCATTTTAATGACTCATAATATTTCATCACAACACATCATCATTATGGTGAGCAAACCATAATGTAGCTTACTTGATGTTGTTGCCTGTTTTCTGTATGAAATGCTATACTGAACTCCTATCCATATCACTTTTCTTTTATTCTGGATTATGTTTATAAATTAGATTCTTTGAAGTAAAATGTGCCAGATGGTGGGACTCATAATGCCAGCTGTGTCCCCAGAGGGTTCTAGCCAGTCCGTGACTCCACCAGAAATGCATACAAATGAACACGGGCCGTTCTCCACTGAGGAGTCAGCCACTTGCCTGTGATCTGTTCAGTTCAGGTTGTCCCTGCAGAGATCATGGTGGTGTCTTCCGTGTGAGCGAGCCTGGGCCTGAGTGGCGCCCACTCAGGGCCGGCCCCTTCCCCTCACGTGGCGTGGCGACTCTCCGTCACAGCTTGCCTCTGAGTCTGGGGCACTGAGTTGCCAAAATGCAAACTGTGCCACAGTGGAGTTGTGACTGTCCTGTGGCCCCCAAACGTGTCCTACCGACTCTCAGGGAAGTGCCTCGAGCGGGCACAGCGCCATCCTGCACGCTGACGCCTGTGCTCGCCTGAGGGCCGAGCGGAGGTCGCTGCACCTTCCTGAGCCCCCCATGGGGTCTCCTTTGCTGTGCTCGCTGTTTCAGGATACGGCTTCCCGAACTATGGATTTCCTACCTATGGCGGAATCACCTTCCATCCTGGAGCCACCAAATCGAATGCTGGGATGAAGCATGGTAAGTCATGCTTTTCTTAATACTAGGGTAAGAAAAAAATTAATGCCAAAAAGGGTTTTTTAATCACTACTTATCACAACAACATTTTCTTCTGGAAAAATTAATAAATGCAAATAAACTAAGAAGATCCTTTTCCAAAAAGATACTGTTTCCTATGGATGGTATAAACTCTATTTCTGACACCTGTTTATATTTATATGTTTACTTTGTAAGTGGCATTGAACAGGGAAAGAAAAGATCATTAAAAAGACATAGAGACCTGACTATTCAATCATTAAAAAATCACCAAACTTATCCACTGTTCTTTTTTTTTCAAGTACTACACTTTTGAAATCATTTTGATGATTTTGGGCTTTTCCTGTCAAACACATCCCATGAGTAGCAGTGGTCATACCACGTGTTCATAGTTTGTGTGACATGTCCGTTCTAGTGTTGCCAGTAAAGAAATAATACTACAAAGCCTTCCTATTTACTGAATGCCTGTTTTATGCCAGGTGCTTTTACACGTTTGACTGTAATCTGCATGATTGCTCTATAAGGAAAATATTAGCATGTCTATTTTATGAACAGAAGGCACTGAGATTCAGAAAGGTCCATTCACTCAGTAAAGGCACCGGCAGTTAGTGACAGAACCAGAATTTGAAGCAGGTCTAGCCACTCTCCTAGTGCCTGTCAGATAGCACTGCTGGCCCTGAAAGAGCATGATCGGAAAGGGCACAACGGATAGCTCCCACGCTACATCACGTGAACCAAGACATATCTTAATCACTTGCTTTGTTAATTAGCATTAGGAAAAAAGTAACTGCTCTGCTTTCAAGAACTTAAAAAATTCCACATGCCTATAATTCACAGAAGTACTTTGTTTCATTTTTCTTCTTTATAAATAAGCAAATGAGACACTTAAGGTTTTAGAAGTATATTAAAAGAACATTTTTTAGAAGTGAGAGTTTAAAATAGCTCCAAAACATGTTATTTATGATATTATAATATGGCCATTTTAAAATTAATTTTAAATTATTGTTTTTATTTTCCCTTTGCCTCTTACATTTATCTGACCTACAATAAAACAGTGATTTATAACTTAATAGATTTTACTAAGAAAAAGATGATGTTTTTGCATTTACCTTAGGAACTTTAGACACTGAATCTAAAAATGACCCTGAAGGTTGCGACAAGAGTGATGACAGAGAGACTGTGAATCTCTCTGGGAAAGTTGCTGGAACCACAGAGCAAGACAAGGCGTCCGGCAAGCCCAGCAGCGGGGATGCAGAGGGGGTGCAGGACGAGAACTCCAGGTTCCAGGGTGAGCGAGCGCACAGGCAGCCGTGTTGCACTGGTCGCTGGGGCAGGGTCAGTTGTAGCTGCAGAAAGCAACTGCCGAAAGACGTGTATCTTCTGTTACTCTAAATATGATATGTCAATATCTAGTGCAACATGCTCTTCAAAGTCCTGCACATCTTTTGAAAAGCATATGTCAGGTCATTTTATTCACACCGGGATTTTCATTTTGCCCCTGTTATCTTAGAATATAAAGTACAGAAATCTACATCTCCAGTCATAATCATGTAGTTTGATGGTATTGTGAGAGACAATTGCCTTGTTTTTCCTGACCCTACAGATAATAGAGAGCAATTTCCATAAGCTTAATAGTCACCCCTCTCTACAATCCAGCTGAACTGTCATACTGAAGTGGAACTTTGCTTGAAAATAGGAACTTGTTTTTATCCTATTGTCCTCTTTGAAGAAGTAGGATTAGGAGGAAATGTACTTTTGTGTTTACTTTGAACCAATATTCATTAGTGCATGTGTTATGATTCTAGGTCATCCTAGACTGTACTTGGAAGACTTCTTCTATAAAAGGAAAGGTAGTAATTGTTTAAAGTTGGTGGCCACATACGGTTTTTATCACCTATTCTTTTTCTTTTTTAATTCCCCCTTAAAATCGTGCAAACCATGCTTAGCTGGGGAGCCACATAAAAACAGGTCGTGCAAGAGGTTTGACCTGAAGGTCACACTTTGCCATCCCCTAAAACTAAAAACCACCAATGGCTCAGAGACATTGATGTGTCTATGGCAGAGACATGTGTTTACTGACACGTTACCTAAAAAGGTAGTTGTTACAGATTCCAGTGAAGGATTATTCACCAAGCAATTGCTTGTTTAAAATTATGGCAAAATCTAGCATTGCTTTGAGATTGATTGTTCCACTTCAAGTAACAGACATTTTTGAACATTTTCCCCCAACGAGCCACAGGTTCTTTTAGTTCGATCTCTAACCATATTTTTCATTGAGCCAGTGTCCAATTGTTCATAAGCACTGAAAGAAGCATTTTTAACTAAAAGGATATGTATGGACACATCAGAACACATGCTGGTGGCCGGGCCACTCACGCCATACCTACAGAGCAAGCGCGAGACCCAGCTGCGGCTGTGCTCCTTGCCTTCCAGATAACCTCTTTCTGGAGAAGGCCATGCAGCTGGCCAAGAGACACGCCAGCGCCCTCTTCGACTATGCGGTGACGGGAGACGTGAAGATGCTGCTGGCTGTCCAGCGCCATCTCGCCGCGGCGCAGGATGAGAATGGGGACAGGTGAGTCAGGACTTCCGTGACATGGGCTGTTTTAGGGTAGGAGAGAGAAAAGCATTGCGTAACGCATCCAGGCTAGGGATAAAAGACTTGCTCGGCGTCACCAGGTCCTGTCCCTGGAGCACTCTCCAAGGAAACGCGTGCAGCGGGCGCGCACGGCCGCCTCTCCTGCGCCGGGCGCCGTGGCCTGCAGAGCAGCTGAAGCCTCGGGAAGCACGTCTCTCTGGGCGAGAGGCTCGTGCGCGTGTAGGTAGTGGTGCTTTTAGAAAGTCCTTGCTTCATTTATTAAAGTAATGTTTGGAGAATTGTTGATTCCTACCAAATCCCTGAAGCATGTTTATCCCAACTGCATATTTATAATGAGAGTGTACTCAAGAAAAAGCCTGATAAAGGCAGCAGCAACAAAATGATTGAGGCAACTGTCACTCTTTCCCAGTTACTGGTTTCTTCTCTGCTGCCTGCTAATGGTCACCAGTCTGGGACTGGCTCATACTCCTGCAGCTGTCCCAGCCCCCGTGTGTGGGAGTCCAGCATTCCAAACACCATGCCTTCCATTCCTGCTATTTACCGAGATTATATTTGCAAAGCCACCTGGCTTCTTTCTAAGACTGTTCTCTTAGTCCTTTCATTGAGACTTCTAAAATGATCTCAGAAACCTGTAAAAATAACAAGAGACAGAAGCTGTCAGATTCAAGTCAAGTGCCTTATCTAAAACCTTCCCCAAATAGCGTCGACACTGAGAAATCCTTTTCTGTGGAAGAGCTCTTGAGTGCTATGTTTTAAACCTCAGTTTAAAAACTGAACCAAATGCTTTAGGAAAGTGCCAACCTCAGGGTTTCAAGCGGAGACCTTTGTTCTCATTCCTCGCAGTGTAACCAAGGATGTGGTATAACCACTGGCCTTGTCGTACAGTGTGAGAGGAACAGTGCAACTTGCTTTGTGTGAGGCCGTGGACAGCAGACTGTTTTCTCAGGGTTAAATAATCCAGTTAGCATTCAACAGCATATAACCCCAAGGAAAAGCAGTTGCCCAACATGGGTCACCAGTGTTTCAAGGATGTTTTTAGGGACCTGCTGAGTTTTGAGTCTAAGGGGAGACGAGCACATACAAGTTAGAAAGGCACGCTGGTGCCTGAAGGGTGCCCGCGGAAGGGGCGCGAGGCGTGCGTTCTGTGGTGTGTCGAGGGTCGCGTGTAAGGCCCTGAACATGCACAGACAGGCTGAGGAGGTGGCTGTCCTTATTAAAGCAGGAAATGGATACTTAGAATCCCCTTCTAGAACACACACACACACACACAAGCTGGCTCAGAGAAACCAGAGAGGTGGGACTTGGGGAGACCAAAGAGGGCCCCTGTCAGAGTGTGGTGGAGGGCAGCTGTGGCCACCGTGGCCCAGACCTCCTGTTTTCATCAAGCTTGTCCTCTCTGGCTAATAGTCTGAATCCTGTGACCATTAGTCATCACAGAAAATACAATAAAGGAAAAAAAGTAAAACCTGCTGGTGTAGGGGAAATTCCCATAGGGTGTGAGGATTTGAGGGGGAGGGGAATGTACTTGTGCTGTGAAATGCTGATCTGCACATGGAAATTTTTAGGCCATTTTTGAAGTGTGACCTTTTCTTGGTATCTGTGCATCATGTCTGTGTCAGACTTCAGTCCGGTTTCAGAAGTCCTTTTCCAGCGTCACATTTCAAGAGGCGATGGTGAAATCATCCATTTAAAAATATCTGCCAAGTAGTAAAAATCACGATTTAGCTTTTTAGGCCATTCTGTGCCTAACATAATCCCAAATAAAATGTCCTTGCTATCGCTAAGAAAGAGGCCTGAATAAATAGTCCCTGGTACCTTTTGAGAAAGTCCAGCCTGCGCGCCAGGGCCCAGCCGCCGTGCGCCCGCGGTGCGTGGTGAGCCCTGGGCTGGAACCGCCCGCTCCCAGGCGGGCGTGGCCGCGTCCCTCTGCGGCGCTGTGGCGCGGAGCGTCCCTCGCTGGGCAGGTTAAGGAAGTTAGCGACAGCTTTGGAGTGAGGCAGGCCTGGACCGAACCCCAGCCTCACCACTCACTAACCGCGGGACATCGACTGAGCCGCCTCACACCCGTGGGTCTCAGTTTCGTCATCCAAAGAGGGGGTAATATTACCAGCTTAGAGGCTGTTGTGGTGGTGAGTAAGGCAATGCAGACAGGTGCTTACGTAGTCTGGTAAATAGAAGCTCCTAACAGATAGTAGCTACTTTTATTTTCATTGTTGAGTTGTTTCAAATTAGTTTTAATAATCAACAATACTATCTTCCTAGGAGTGACGTTTTGGCTGCTAGGTTTCTTTTGTCATTTTTATTTTCCTGCCTACACTGCATGCTAGGGCTGCAAAGCTGACTGAGACATAGAACTTGCCCCAGAGAAGACTTCGGGCCAGAGAAGGAGAAAGGCGTATAGAAAACCGCAGCTGCTTAACCACAGAGTAAATTGGAGAGGGACAGCTCCCTCAGCCTAGGAAGCTGCGGAAATGCTCTCTGAGGATGTGAGGGCTGGACTGGATCATAACGGATGGCTCAGGCATTGTCCAGGCAAAGAAAAGGAGCAAAACCACTCCAGGCAGGGCGATGTTTGCCAGGTGCCAGGGTGATGGGGAACATGATTACTTTGTTTCTTCAGAAGTTTGCTTCCAGAATTTTCTTCCAGTAGTTAAAAGCCTGACTCTATTTTTCCCTCTTGGGATCTTGGAAGCTTTTTTAAAAGCCACCACACAATAGTTTGGAGGAGGTAGCAGGGCTAGGTGAAGTAACTAAAATTTTTCTGAACAATTTCCAGTGCCAGGCATTCATTTTACACACATCATCTGTTTGTTAGGGAAAGTCAGGGAAAAGATAAAGGAGAAAGCACCTGAAACCATAGTACAGAGGTAGAATTGGGATTCGAACTCAGGTCCCTCTAGTATGGAAGCCCGGGCACCTTCACATTTCAAAGGGTCAAACATAAACACTTCGCAGGCGGCACCACAGTTGAGTGTAGCAGCCTGGATGGGCAAGCCTCTGGAGATAGCATCCCACTTCAAATTCCAGAGATTTTATAGGTTCAGAACATTTTAGGGTCAAATAAAACTCGGTGTCAGAGCCACATTCAGTGTGTAGGTCTAATCATATCTTGGGTCTCTTTCTTTTCCATTGACATTTTGGCTGATTATTGCCACTGTATTTTCATTCCAGTGTCTTACACTTAGCAATCATCCACCTTCATGCTCAGCTTGTGCGGGATCTGCTAGAAGTCACTTCTGGGTTGATTTCTGATGAAATTATCAACATGAGAAATGACCTGTACCAGGTAAGCAGAAATCTCAAGGAGTCAACTAAAGAAAAACCCTTAGTGTCTTTTTTTTGTACATGTGGGTGCACATTATTTTAAGTGATGTTAACAGCAGTAAAAATAAAACAAACTCTTTTGTAGGTAATATCCTAAAAGCTCATTAGTCGAGAATATTATTTGATGAATTAGGATCCTTTGATCTGTGAGTATAATGGCAATCAAGCCACAGTGAAATTCAGCAGCCTGCTGGGGGAAAGCAAACTTTAACCTTTAGAAATCAAAGAGTTGATACATTTCACAAGGAGAACCTAGAATAAAAATGTCACTTCTGTCAAGAAAAATAAAGTTGAAAAAAATTAAGTTTGAAAAGGCAATAATTTATAAGAATTTTGAAGTCTACTGAAACATACTTTGACAACATCCAGATTAAATGCCTATCAAATAAAAGTGCTGACATCAAAACACAGAAAGGGAAAAAGGTTGCTTGAGAAGGAAAAGGTGTCTTTCAAACACAGAAGGACAGCTCAAAGTGAGGAAAACTAGGAATAGCAGAGTCTTGCCCGAATCAGGGTCAAATAGGTGTCAGGTAGGCTAGACATAACTTGAGGAGCTCCATTCCAGCCGTTGTCAGACGCTGCAGAGAGCAGTTAGCTGCAGGTCAGCGAGGCCACCTGCTGGGGAGGACCAGGCTTCAGGGCGGTCAGGAAGGATGAGATCACCTGAGCAGAAGCAAAGCTGGAGACCTCCGCCGGCCTCTCTGGCTAAGGGGCTGCACGGGCTCGGGCCCGGGGAGGGTCCCCTTCCTCTTCCATCACTGCTTCCCGCCCCTCCAGTTATCTGTATGAATCTCCTGGCCTTGCCCCTTCTTAGCTTGCCACCTTTCTCCTTCCCTCCACTCGACCCAGAATGTCCTCCCAGTCCTCCGTAACTCAGACTCTGATTCAGATACATTTCTCACTCCAGAAATGTGGCCAAGATTGTCTGTTTACTTGCTAAAGGTACTTGTTCCAGTTCTCCATTTTTAAAGCAGGTAATATGAATCATTTTTATTTCCTCAGGAAACTTTTAAAAATGATTTTAAAGGAAATCAATTTTTAAGTTCCTTTAATAATCAAAATTAATTTCCTTTAATTTCAAAGGATAATATTAAATTATTCATTTGCTTATTTTTATCTCCACACTTTAAAACAGGGGCTCTCAAACTTTTTAAACAGGGGGCTAGTTCACTGTCCCTCAAACCGCTGGGGAGTGCACATTTTGGGCCTGGGACAAGTCGGCTGCTAAGCAGGACAGGCAGCAGTGGCAAAATCACCAGGCGGGCTGCATAAATGTCCTCAGCGGGCGGCATGTAGCCCAAGGGCCATAGTTTAAGGACACCTGCTTTAAAATGTGCTTTACAGTACATTTAAAGCAAAAGTACTAAAATGTTTCTGTGTAGCTCTTAATAGATTTTTAGCTGTGAACAGGTAAAAAGTAACAGGCTTTCTGATAGAGAGAAATAACCATTTCCCATTCAATGTAAGCCATTAGCCTTCTTCTTTGGCTGTTGTGCTTATTAATGTCAAAGTAAAAATAAAGTTAGAGACTTTTCACTGACTCATAAAATAATTAGGATGAAGTCAGATTTTAGATTTACATCTAAAGAATATCTTTTCAAACTTTCATATCATGTTAGGGGGTTGTTGATATTTGGAAAGTCATTTGGCCCATAAAGCTTGATTCTTTTAGACTTTCGGACTGATCGTTCCTTGTAACCATCACAAGTATATGAATAAAACTAGGAATGGGACAGTGTAGCTTCTCAGACCTCCTTTCAAAGACTGTTTACTCCATTGACTGTAGGTCAGAGTGAAGGAATTGCTTGTTTTCTGTTTATAAACAGCATCTGCAGAGGACAAGCACAACAGGGTTAGCAACTGTATCTGGTTTTTTTTTTAACACACTTAAACTCTTTACTGTGTCATTTGGTTACATATATTGAGAGTCTCCAGTGTACTAGAGACAAAAACCCTGAAGCCACCGCCATGGACACTTCTGCCCTCCTGATCTGGGGCTCTCAGAAAGACAGTCCGTTTCCCTCGCCGCCGCCACTCTAGATAATGGGCAGGGTTCCGGACTCCCCAGCGTGCCTTCTCTGTCTCAGACTCGCACCTGGCGGCAGTGTTGATTGGGAGCTAGACACTTAAAGATCTGAACTCTCGATTTTCTGTTGTTGAGGTTCTCTGATAACTGTTCTTGATGGAAAATTATACAGTTCTCTGAGTAATTTGGATTATTTGACAATTATTTTAAACATTCTCCCCAAGTACCTTTCACTAATCTTAGTACGTTGCTGTGACCATCTGTCATGATCAAATCTCTCTCCTCACCCACCTCTAGAAACACACTCAAAATAGTCCATGTGCACAGAGTTAGGAGTTTTCTGAAAATATTCTCTTTAAACCTTTTTCTCCTCTCCCATTCTCCTTCCCGCAACATAGACAACCATTCCAATGTGTTTGGTATTAATTTTTTTGTGTTTGTTCCCATAAAACATTATTGGAAGAGTTTTTGCATGTATTTTTCTTCTATGTTTTTGAGTATTATAAATATATATTCATAGTTTTTAAAATGGTATAGAAGGATATGCATTAGACAGTTGTCTGCCCTGGGTGCACAAGTTCCCTAGCCCAAATGTAACTGTTGCATTCGCAGGTATTTTTCCAGGTATTGGCTACATATACACATGTAGTTGAAATACATAGATATTTTAGTATACTCTCACATACAATCCACATTATATCATACATATTTCTCCTGCTTGCATTAACCTTTTTCTTTAATTTTTAAGTTGATATGATTATAGATTCATAGGAGGTTGCAAAAATGTACCAGGAAGCCCTAGGATATTTACTGGGAGACAACTGGAGGTTCCTTCACCCAGCATCCCCCAATGGGAACAACATCCTGCATAGTTATAGCATGGTATCAAAACTGGGAAATTGACGTTGGTTCAATCCATAGATCTTAATCAGATCTCACTTGTCTCATATGCACTCATTTGTGTGTATTTATATAGTTCTTTATGCATATAATTTTTAAGTGCATTAGTGGCATTGTGCTACATGTCACTATATTTCTGCCTATGCTATGTATAGGATCTATTCATGCCGTTACATGTACTGCTAGTTTGTTTTTTCTACTGCTGATGCATCTTCTGCCTGTAATGTACTTGTTTCCCATTAGTAGACACTTAACCAGCTTCTGACTTTCTACCTCAGTAGACAATGCTGCAGTGAGTGTCCTTACCCATGTCCCCTAGTGGACTTGTGTCAGAACCTCACTCAGATATATTACTATATATATAGTATAGTTGGTTCACTGGGCATTTGTACACCTGGCTCTCCAGGATGTCTGCATCAGTCTCATGCCCACAGGCATGGCATGAAGGTTCCTAGATCCCCACATTGTATACTTGTTGAAGATATATAATCCTAGGGTTTAAGATCTAGAAGGCTGAAATATCCCAAAAAAACTTTTGATTGGATTGTGGGAGAAAACTTTTTTTAAAAAAATCTGTCTTACTCATGATGAAAGATTTTGTATGATATGAAAAAAATTAAAACTATAGATAATTCCTAATTCCTGAATGGTATGCTATCTTATGATTCCAGATCCTCTTTTTTACAATCTCATTCTCTTTCCTTTTCCTATCTCCCCAAATAGCATTTCCAAAAACACAGATTAGTAAGTACAGCCTTTTGTGACTTAGTTATTTTTTGAGAGGAAGGCTCGTGGTAGCAGCATGTAAAGTTTTGAGCACATCATTTAAGCTGGGTGATAGTCCCAGAAAATGAAAGAAATAAGGGAGAGTGATAATTTGGCAAAAAAAAAAAAATCATATCTTGTTTCTGCTTTATTAATTAACCAATGGAATTGGGATTTAAACAACCTGCGTATCATCATCCTGCCAGTTGTCATGCGCTGTGGTCACCTACGCCAGGTAGGATGCTGGTGGCCCACCTGCTGCTGCAGCTGCAGCCAGGATGTGCTCCCTGGAAGGAAAACCATAGGCAGATCCTCAGTAGACAGGCCGGATTTCGCGGTCAGACTCCTGTGAACTAGATTTCTGTGAAGATATATTGCTGTTCTCTGTCAGTGACCTCAGTTCTTTGAAAGTTACTTTCATGGTTGTGTTTGTTTTGCTCATCTTTGAAAACACACAATTTTCAAGACATCTTATTTGTATTTGCTACTCAAATGGACTACTTAACCACTTCAGTGCGGCGCTCACCGGCCGCGACACCTCGCCCACACCGGCACTCACAGTCCGCACGGTGGTCTGTGCTGTGCATTGACGGCACATCCGTTTTGCTCTTGTGTGATGAGGAAAGCTTGAAAGCACTGAAAGCTTATTTTACTTTACAGGCAGCTTTACTTGTGATGTAAATCAGATTAGGTAACATATACATATATGTTTTCATTACGTTATTTTTAAATGTTCACAATTTTATTTTGATAAATGAAAAATTAGAAAAGTCATATCATGGCTGTCAGCTAAAGTCACTGTGCACGTTTATCTGTGGCTGTCGACTATAGTCGACGCTGGTCCCGAAGTGGTTAAATATCAGGTTTCAGCAACTCAGCTTTTTGTTCATCTGAGCCCCCTTACTGAGATAGTTGAATTGTTCTGAGTATGTCATTGAAAATCCTTTTATGAAATAAAGTGAAGGTAGGAAAATTATATTGTTTTCATGAAGCCAGTCCATGGAACAGTATTTTTTAATTTAGTAAAGTTATTTTCTATGTCAACATAGGGTCATGGCACTTTGTTAATTGGTTTCTGGTGAGTAGTTCGCTTAAACTTCTACAGTGAAACCATAGCCTTGATTTTTTTAATGTGAAATTATCAGCTGAAGATAGATCCCTCCTAGAAATTTAAGAAATATAAGTTTACTACTAAATGAATTAAAAAATTAAAAGTCAGTAGGCTGCAGTGAGAAACAAGAGAGCTATTAAGAGTTATAAATATAAAAATAATCCACCACAAAAAATGGTAAGTATGTGAGGTGATGGATTTGCTAATTAGCCTGATTTAATCATTCCACATTGTAAGCATATATTAAAACATTCCATTTTACTGTATAAATACATACAATTATTATTTGTCAGTTAAAAATAAATTAATTAAATAATAAAAATACTCCAGATTCTTGAATAGCTAAATGTTAGCTTCGTATACATGCTTTATTAGGATATGGTGTGGAATAGGAAGTAACCCATGTGCAATGGTCAGGAGTTAATCTGGGGTTGAGAAATAGCCCTGCACTTTGACCCCCACCTGTTGCAGTGACAGCTGCCACGCCGTGGTTTATAAGCGCTCACTACCGGCCAGTTCATCCCCTGCCCCTTGTCCACTTCCCAGACACCCTTGCACCTGGCAGTGCTCACCAAGCAGGAAGAAGTGGTGGAGGATTTGCTGAGAGCCGGGGCCGACCTGAGCCTTCTGGACCGCCTGGGGAACTCTGTCTTGCACCTGGCTGCCAAAGAAGGACATGAGACAGTTCTCAGCATCTTACTCAAGCACAAAAAGGCAGCACTACTTATCAACCACCCCAATGGGGAAGGTAAGAGGCAATCACACATCATTGATATAACCTTCTCCATCCACTTTCTAAATAACTACTAGGCATTTGATAATGTGTGTTATTGGATTTGCCTCCCAAAGTGCTTTCGTCTGCTGGAGTCCATCCTCTCTTGTGGGTGTTTCTGTTGCTCACCATAGCTAGCTAATAGTTAGGAGGAGGAAAAAGCAGAGGCCTGAGCAAACACTGGGCTTGAAGTGTGTAAAGCGTCACTTGTTTGAAGAATGCTCATTTACCCTTAGTGGTTCCTGAGAACATAATTGGAGACTGAGGGTTTTAAAGGCGGAAAAACAGACTTACAGTGGCTTTAAAGTATGTCTTGAGCAGAGACTCAGCACTCCAAGTGCTGGATCCTGACAGTGTCCCTTCCTGTGATCCATGTTTTCCACCATTTCCTTCAGCTTCCCCCGTGACTGTCCCTGTGCTTGGGCCGTAGGTCTGAGCGCCATCCACCTAGCCATGGTGAGCAACAGCCTGCCCTGTCTGCTGCTGCTGCTGGCCGCCGGGGCGGACGTCAACGCCCAGGAGCAGAAGTCTGGGCGCACGGCCCTGCACCTGGCCGTGGAGCACGACAACATCTCCTTGGCCGGCTGCCTGCTTCTGGAGGTGAGGGATATGCTTTGTTTGCCTTTGCATTGAATCCCCAAGGAGGGCTTGGGGACACCTTCCCGAAGACGCAGTCGGTAACGGCTCTTCCCCCGCAGTCAGCTCCGTGCCAGGCCGCCAACAGCACCAGCGGGCGTCCTGCCGCCCGCTCGCCTGCATCTCCAACTGGGGCTTTCTCCAGTGACAGAGCTGGCCCCAAGTAGCCACACAGCTAGTGATATGACCCGAGGGGCCATGCAGATAGCAGGAGGTGGGAACAGCAGGGCAAGAGAACCTCCCACTAACCCTTTCCTCTATGGGCCGGATTTTAGGGTGACGCCCACGTGGACAGCACCACCTACGATGGAACTACGCCCCTGCACATAGCGGCTGGGAGAGGGTCCACCAGGCTGGCAGCTCTTCTCAAAGCAGCAGGTAAGGTGGCCTGGGGTGACAGATGGAAAACGCCATCAGGAGTGCAAACCCAGCTCGGTAGAGCGGCCCCGTCGCCCGCTGTACGCAGCAGACCTACTGCCGGAAAGCATGGACCCATAAGGACCGTATGGCGAGTCACGTTTTCAGTGCCGCAAAGGCGCTGCTTGGCCTCGTAATCCTGAGCTTCGCTCTGATAGTCGTGTCAGCTTTTACTCTCTGATTCATCTGTTTGTGTTGGGTTTTGACTGTTTAGATTGACTCCCAGGACAAGAGATCTTCTTAGAGTTTAATTCCTTAAAGTGGCATCATTCTCAGATCACATCAGAAGTCCCCAGAAGAAAAAGATTATTTATTTTTCTTTTTGAAGAGACAGGGTCTCACTATGTTGCCCAGGCTAGTCTTAAACTCCGGGTCTCAAGCAATCCTTCCTGCCTTGGGCTGAGAAAAAGATTATTGGTATAAGAAATAATTTAAAGACTTCCTTTTCAAAAAAGGCCTCTCAGAATTTGAAGTAGTAGGAAAAAGCAAATGGACAATGTATTGAGTCCTAACACGTGCAAGGCACTGAAATTTCTAACATTTTTGACCTCACTATATACCAGGCACTGTGCTAGACATGCTTTACATGCACTGTCTCACTTAATCTCTTCTACTCCCCAATAACGCTTTGGGCCAAGTACCATTATTATTATTCCCATCTCACAGTCCAGAAAACCGACTAGAGAGACCACCTGGTCCCACTGCAGGGTCCCCGCAAATGGCAGGGCTTGGAGTCACACCTTGGCAGTCTCAACTTCCAGACCTTATTCTCTCTACTATGTTTCTCTCCCCTACTTTGCTCATGGGTTTGCAGATGTTAGTCCATTTAATTCTCTAGTCCTATGAAGTATAGAAAATTACTCCATCTTTGAATTTCTAGTACCTTACATGTTTAGGGCCTCAAAAATTGCTTAATGAATTGGTATCTCAAGCCTGCCCTGACATATCTTATTTACTTTAGAGGTTATTAAAAAATTTAGAAGGTAAATGCTTTATAAATTCAAGAAAACAGAGGAGGTTAAAGTATCATCTTAAAAGTATAGGAACTTTTCTTCAGGGGCACCATGCTTTTCGGACAAGCAATGTCATATCCCAAACAAGCACAGCTTTTTCTTTTCTCCTTTGCCAAATTGAACTTTTTCTTGAACAAGGGACTCTGTTTGCAGTGTGTATGGGTAGTTTTGGAAGTCACTGGTTATAATTAAGAAATGCCTTAAGATAAGAAGCTTAACCCTTTCAAAAATGCTTTCTCTTGAATTCTCAGAACTCCATGAAAGGAGTAGCAAGTAACAGTTTCTCTGATATATAAAGGAATAAACTCAGATGAAAAACCTGTCCTGGGCTCACAGTCATGAAAAAGGTCACGTGAGGAACAGAGATGGCGAGGCCCCTCCAGTCTTCGCTCCTGTAAACTATTCATCTTAATTTCTCCGTTGTTTCCATGGTCGGGTTACAATTACTGCCTCATGGATCAGGCTAAGACTGGGAGAGTAAAAATCAAGAAATAGCATGAAGATTCTTCTTTGGCTGTCATTAGCACTTCGATAATAATGGAAGTTGGCCCAAATCTAATGTTCTTCCAGCAAGATAAAAGCAGGTTCTTCCTCCCAAAAAGGTGTGCTGGGCTTCCTACTCCTCATCAGACATCGCCCTGGACTCTGCCACAGAGCATCTCTAAGCCTTGGGGGGAAGTAGCTCTAATTGAGTTACTTTTGGTGGCTTTTTACCCTGGAAGCTAAAAAACAAACTAGATTTTGTTTGTTCAAGATTCATAAGCCCAAAAATTTTCACTAACTACACATGCTAGCAGAGCGTTTTTTGTTTGTTTGTTTGGAGGGTTTTTTAGGTTTATTTATTTATTTATTTTGATGATTTTTATTTAAGGATCAGGGCCCTGGCATTGCTGTGCCCAGGAATAAAACTGACCATTCTGTCATTAGACATCAAGCAGCTTTTGCTCTTTTGAGCATGCAAGAAAAGAGGCTGAGAAATATGCATTGGCAGGCATAAATTTAACTATTTAGGACCTTAATGCGGAGGGTACACCTTGTGTCTGTAAATGCTGTCCATTTGTCCTCAGATGCATAATTCAGTGGAGAACTATCCTATGGAGTTAAAAGTGAAAGTCAGTATTTGGAGTCTATTGTTTTCAGTAGTATCTTTGGCTCTATAGGATATCAGAAGACACCTTTACAATCAAAGTAAATTAAAACTTAGAAAGAGGTTCTCTGGATATTTCAGTAGAAACATGTTTTATGCATTAAAAATTATCCAGGTGGTCACCTCTAGCAGCCACTGTGCTCTGGAAATCCGACCCCTGCAGGCAGCTGGGAGCGACAGGGTCTGGGTTTGCCTCACGCTGTGCCACCTGACTTCACAGGCGCGGACCCCCTGCTGGAGAACTGCGAGCCCCTCTATGACCTGGAGGACTCCTGGGACAGTGCTGAGGAGGACGAAGGCGTCGTGCCGGGAACCACACCGCTGGACATGGCCGCCAGCTGGCAGGTGCGCGCTGCACGCTCTGCCAGGGCCGCTCCGGGGGCCGGGGGCTCAGGACCATGCGAACAGATGGTCTTCCTGATGCTTCATTCCCCAAAGAACACGCCTTTTATTTTTAAGAAAGTCTGTTCGTCAAGAGCCATATTTATCTTGAAAAACCCTATCTGTGAAAGATCTAGGTCAGCTGAGTTCTGAGTGCAAAAGTGTATGCCTAATCAGATCAGAACCGAGATGTGAGACAGGGCTAGAAACAACACAGAATTCACACAGAAGTGACCCATTCCAAACTCATACCAGAATTGTACCCTCTCGATTTCTGAAGCCTAGGTAAATGTTATTGTTTGCTCAGAACTTAGGAAAGTGATTTCTGAATGTAAAAATAAACTAGGAATGCTTCTGAGAATTTCAGTAAATATAAGCAGTGTAAATAGATTTCAAGCCTTCCTCAGACCCCACTGAACTGAAGTGGGAAGTGATAAGCAGCCATCAGGGAAGAGAGCAGGGGCAGGAGGTGGCCGCACACAGGTCTCCAGCGTGACAGAGGGGTGTTTGCAGGGGTGAGAGCCACTCCACTTCTAGAAGCTTCCCCTCTGCCTCCCTGCAGCCTGCTAGTGCTGAGCCAGGGACCCTGGCGGTGACCCCGTGGCCCCCAGTTATGTTAGCACCTCGTTTCCCCAGAAGGCCTCACCAGGGGCCCCGCTGTGCCATCCGGGCCAGCCAGCAGCAGAGGGACTGCAGAGAATACCCGAAAGGCCTCCATAGCTGTGGAGGTTTTTCTTTTAACTTAAGACATTTCTGGATTCTCAGTTAGTGTAACTGGTGCCAGAAGGTTGACACCAAGCCTTGTGCGCCTGTCACATCCTAGTTTGAGCAGGCTTATAGAGTTCATTCTCACAAGCCTGTTGCTAGGGAGGAGGGACAGCCAGGGGACACAGTGTCCCAGCTCTGCACAAGCTCCGCCGGAGCTAAGGCCTCTGACGGGCTACCTCGGTGGCCTGGGCTGCCTCGTGGCCTGGGCTGCCTCGTGGCCTGGGCTGCCTCGGTGGCCTGGGCTGCCTCGGTGCCTGGGCTGCCTCAGTGGCCTGGGCTGCCTCGGGGCCTGGGCTGCCTCAGTGGCCTGGGCTGCCTCGGGGCCTGGGCTGCCTCGGGGCCTGGGCTGCCTCGGTGGCCTGGGCTGCCTAGGTGCCTGGGCTGCCTCGGTGGCCTGGGCTGCCTCGGGGCCTGGGCTGCCTCAGGGACTAATCTCTGTGTGGCTGGGCAGGGCTCCTACCCCAGGCAGTCTCTGCAGGCGCTCCAGCGGCCAGGCCCGCGGCTGCTCTCGCCCCAGAGGCGCCGTGTGCCTGGGGACCGTCCTGTCCCCTCTTGCCATCCCTCGTCTCTGAGGTACGGGGCCGTCCTGAGGAGGACAGCTGAGTTCTTCATGATGGAGAGAGACTCCCTCATCGTCCCTTCGCGTATAATGTGTTCCCGTGTTTTCTTCCCAGCAGGTATTTGACATATTGAATGGGAAACCGTATGAGCCAGAGTTTGCATCTGATGATTTACTAGCACAAGGTGGGTTGTGGTGGAGCCAGGTCCTTGTGGCCACTGTTCTCACGCCGTCCTTCAAGGGGGAAAGGGAGAGCAGTGTCACCGGGGCCACTGTGCAGGGCGCAGTTCTCGTTTCAGAATGTAAAGGCCCGGGAGTCATGTGGAGGGAACGCCGGCTCAGGCTGCTGTGGACGCGCGCCGGCCGCTTCCCCGGGAGCCGGGCAGGCAAGCCGGGCAGTCGGTCCCTCCGAGTGTCCGGGGGGCTGAGATCGTCGTGTTCCTTCTTCGTTGCCTTCAGGAGACATGAGACAGCTGACTGAAGATGCAAAGCTGCAGCTCTGCAAGTTGCTGGAAGGGCCTGATCCAGACAAAAACTGGGCTGCTCTGGCACAGAAGCTGGGGCTGGGGGTGCTTAACTGCGCCTTCCGGCTGAGCCCCGCTCCCGCCAAAACGCTCATGGACAACTATGAGGTAACGCCCGCCCCACGCGTGTGGCGGCTTTCATTCCTCTTTCCTCTGTTCACACCCCTGGCCAGGACGGAACCTCATTCTCTGTTCCTTCACTCCAAGGAGGAAAACCAATCATTGCCCAAGGCCAGGGAGGGTGACCCAGGCCCAGAGGGAAGCCTATTTTCCAAATACAGGTTTCACATACCTTGAGATTTTCTGTTTTCAAGTACCTGGAGGCTTCCTGTAAAAACACTACTCCGAGGGTCAGGATTTGCACAGAACTTCAATCCCCCTGCGCGAAGGTCGGACTGTGATCAACATGCGTGTCTCCCAGCACCCGAGAACACGCCTTGATCACAGGCCAGAGCCTGGAGTCCGTGCTCTGAGAGGACCCCGCGGAGCCTTTCCCCGCGGGTGCTCACGGGGCGCGTCATATGCTGCTAAACGTCACAGCTAGCTGTTACTTCTCTGTGGGTTCCAGAGCTTCACTACGCAAGGAGACCGTGTAGACACTGCCCCAGGCGGCGATCCGCTCCCCCAGCTCCCCTTTGCTATCCGCGGCTTCTCTGTGATTTCCTGACCTGGCATTGGGGTAAAACAGGAACCCTGACTCAGAGACTGTGTGTCTTCTTTGTCACTCTCCTCTGCCTTCCCAGGACCACGTGGCACTCTCGGTGGAGGGGGCTGCGTGGGAGGAAAGATGGGCGCCGTGACTGCAGGGGCTGCAGCCGCCTTCCTTTCCTCCCCACAGGTCTCGGGGGGCACGGTCCAGGAGCTGGTGGGGGCGCTGAGGCAGATGGGCCACGAGGAAGCCATCGCAGTGATCCAGGCAGCCTCCGGCCCCCGCACGGCCGCCCCGCCGCCCCGCTCGCCCTGCTCCACAAGGCAGCAAATAGGTACGGAAATGCAGAAACGGGTGCAGATGTTCTCCCGCTCCCCGGCCGCCGTCTTCAGCTCTCGTGGGGCGTGGGGAGGCAGGGCCCCATCCCCGTCCCCTTCCAGCGTCTGCCCCCGCGCCTGTCGCCCGGCCGCCTCCCGCCCCTCCTGACACCGTCGGAGGAGGGGCTGTTCCCACAGAAAAGCACAGTGACACTCATGCCCGTGAGTTACTTGAGGGACACTGCGCGATGCAGTAAATGCTAGACACAGCCTGGTGTGGGTGGTTAAGGTAAATGTCACTTCTCTGATTTCTCACATGTAGAGAGAGGGAGCGAAATGCCCAGCCTAAGGTTTGCAGAGCTAGAGCCAGCACCCGACCAAAGGCGGACGCTGCCGCTCTCCCGCCGTGCCTCCCCTCGCCCGCACCTCCTCCGCATCTCCTTCCTCCTCTCTGTGCTCATGGCACCCACCTTGCCTGCCGCCATTAATGGCACCTTGTGTCATCCCACCAGAGAAAACACGGAACCGTACCAAATGGACTCTAGACACAGCCCGATAATCCTGCATCCCCTGTAATGTCATCAGCCTCCACGCTCTGAGCCAGCGTCCCCAGCCTTCTTGTCACCAGAGACTGGTTTCATGGAAGGCAGTTTTCCACAGACGGGGCGGGCGTTGGGCGCGGTCCTCGGCGCCAGTGAGGCTGCCCCTGCTGGCGCGGCTCCCCTCCGCTGCGACCAGCTTCCCGAGGTTCCTGGGGACAGCCTTCCGCAGACCAGGCCTGGGGGCAGGCAGGTGGAGTTCAGGTGGGAGGCACAGCTGGGTCCCTAACAGGCCACCGGCCAGGGACAGGCCACAGCCTGGGCGTTGGGGACCACAGCTCTAAACGGCCATTTCGCACTTTCTCTTTCTAAGCCCCACACTGCTTCTCTCTCCTGGCTCACGCACTGCCCTGGCCTCACACGCCACTGGAAACACGGAAGCAACTGGAACTCATCTCTGTGCCCTCAAGGCCGAGCCCGCACGCGCAGCTCCCGCGGGCTCAGTCCGTGCCTCGTGGGCACAGTGCTCCCAGGCCCCCGCTGGCCCTCCCGAGTTCCTGCTCCTTCATTCTCGCTCCTCCCTCGTGTGTCACTTAGCAAGTGCTGTAATCGCTCCATCTTTCAAAGTCTTGACCCACGTCCCCTGCAGCTGCAGTCCAGTGTCCCTGTGCCCCGCTCCGCGGCGCTTCTCGGAGGGCTTAGAGCAGGCCCTTCCTCCTCTTCACCGGCCGAGCCCCCGCCCCACCGGCCTTCTCTCCTTCCCTGTTGCAGATCCGGTCCCCATCCTCCCTTCTTGGAGGTGGCAGCCTCTGCCGCCGTGGCACCCCTCCTTCTACAGGCCGCTCTGTGGCGTGGCCTCCTCTCGTGGGCCCTGGCCCTTCCTTCCTCGCCGGAGCTCTCGCTGCCCCACGCGTGGCCACACTTGGCAGGGGCACAGCCCCTCCGGGAGGCTGCGATCACCCATGGGGCCTTTGGGCACTGGCCACCCCACATCCGATCCCTCAAGTGTCCCTGTCCTGACAGCCACCCACGCCCGGTCCACCTCCCTGCGCACCTCCCTGCAGCTCCTCCCGGCCAGGCTCCTCCTCTCTGTCCGCCACCCCCAGGGAGGACGGGACTGCGTGGCCCTGTTGTGTGCTCTGCGCTCCTCGTCTATGCAGCACACCCTCGGGCAGCCGCGCTGTGCGCCCGCCGCGCCCTGCTCGCCGCTCTGTCTCCGTAGGAAACAGCTGGCGCTGGGCAGGTCCCTGAGGGCGCCCTCAGTAAGGAGCATCCAACCTGATTTCCAGTATAGGCTCACTTTCAGCACAGTCTCCTTACATTTTTGCTACCAAAAATGTTTTCAAGGCAGTGTATGCTGTCTAATAGCACGGAGGCCCAGAGAGAGGTCGCATCTTTAGTTTCTCCTTCTGCTACCAATTTATTTTGGCCAGGTTCAGCAATTTCTGCAGTTACAAAATAAGTAATAGAGTGGTCGGAAAAATACAGCTGATTTCTAAGGGGAAAAAAGGTAACACTATGAGTCAAGAGAACTCTGAAAGGATTTTCATACACACAAGATTGCAAGAGAAAATGTGAAAGCATTTGGCTAAATCTGACGTCCTCAGCTTGTATGCTGGACAGGGTCTCCTGCCCCTGTCCCCGCCTGAGCAGCCGTGGTGGGGGCGGGGCGGGCGTGGCAGCTGGTGGGCAGGAGTCGAGCACAGAGCGGCTCACAAACCTTTAGCCGACTGGGAGCCCCTCGGGGCAGGAGGTGCAGGGGGCAAAGGCTCAGCCTTTGTCCTGGCCCCCGGTGAGTTTCTGCCCCTCCCCCGCAGACGAGCTCCGAGACAACGACAGCGTCTGCGACAGCGGCGTGGAGACCTCCTTCCGCAGACTCAGCTTCTCGGAGCCTCTGAGCAGCAGCAGCCCGCTGCTGCCTCTGAACAAAATGCCCCCCGACTTCGGGCAGGAGGGACCTATCGAAGGCCAGATTTAGTGCGGGAGCCGCCGCGTGAACCAAAGCCCTAAAGTTCCACGGCAGCGCCCCAAGGAAGGAAGGTAAAGTGCGTCCAGAGGTGCTCGGAGGAAAGCTGGCCTGCCTGATTGGTCCTCGATTTAATTCAAGGCCGTTTGAACTTGACTTCCTTTCTTGGCTCGCAACTGAGTTCCAGTCCGGTTCACCTGCAGATGGTGCCTAGCAGTCTCGGGCTGGCTGGGCCACGGCCTGGGCCGGTGGCTGATTGAGCTTTGCTGGCTGCTCCGGGATCACGGGTGCTTCTGTTGTTGCTGCTGCTGCCCCTGCTGCCTCCCGCTGTCATTAAAAGATGTCACTGTCCCCACTCTGTGTTCTCTCTGGCCATCCACAGCATCCAGCTTAAGAATAAGAAAAGGGATATTTTAAAATGAGAGTCACTTGGTGTGCAATAAAAGAGGCTCATTGCTTTTTCTAAGGTGGTTATCTCTGTGATTTGAAAAAAGAGAACATGTACTTGTCAATATTTAAACATGGTTACAATCAGTGCTGAAAGTGGTATTTTCCCCCTTTTCTGCATTTTGCTATTGTAAATATGTTTTTTAGATCAAAACTTTAAAGAAAAAATGTTGGATTTATAAATGCTATTTTTATTTTACTTTTATAATAAAAGGAAAAGCAAATTGATGACCTCACCTTGTTTGATCTCTGCAAATACTTTTCTACGATGATGGTTTATAACCACAGGATCATTCCATAGCCTGGTTATCACATCCACATTTTCGTTAGAGTCAATTTTTTGATCTAGAAATGAACAAAAAAATTATTTCACCTAAGATGAAAGCTTTGGTCCAGCGAGAGCCGCCCAGCCCCTCTCGTTCTGACAGCGCCGCCTCTGCCTGGCGGCACAGCCCCCCGGAGCTGCTGTCTCGCCGCGCAGTGCTGGCCCCACGGGCCGGAGGGCCGGACGGAGCCGCCCAGCGGGCTGCTCTGCTGAGCTGCTCTTCACTCAGAGTTGAAAAAAAGGGAGAGGGAAAAATCAAAAGTTTTTAGCGAGGTGCTATGGTGTGCGCCAAGATCCCTCTTTGACAAAGGACGAGTCTGCTGTCAGTGCCTTTGTGGACTGGGACTGCTGTCGCTGCAGAGAGCCACCTCCCCGGGCCACTCCCATGCAACACTAATCAGGGTGGGCACGTAGAAGCCTGTGCAGCCCGGGGCAACGCTGAAGGGCTGTGTGAGCTTCAGTGTCCCGAGCGCTTGGCTGAGGCTGTCCCACCTTCTCCCGCTGCCCAGCCTGCCCTGCCCACCTGGCCACCGTGCTGGCCTCCAGGCCATGCCCGCAGCAGCGTCCTGCTCCGTCTCCCCGCTCAGAGTCTCCCCAGGGAAGCCACCTGCGCAGGACTGGAACCGTGCCTGACGGTTTGGGCCACATGTTCAGTCATTGAGTCTTGAGAATAACTCAGTGAGGTCCGAGATACTCCTTTTTTGAGGCTTAAAGAGTTCAGGTAGGCCAGAGCTAAGCTGCTTCTGTGTTTGCACCCAGATCTGTGGAGCTTCAGACTCGAGTTGCAGCATTATCTCGGTGGGATAAGAAAGTGGGTAAAAGCAATTAATTGAGTCCACCAGTAGAAGCCAAAGTATACAGGATATAGTATATGACAAAATTACACATCAGCGAGGAAAAGATGATTATTTAATAAACCAGATGTTTCAGCTTGGGCAAAAAGCAATCTGAACCCCAATCTCCCTCTTCAAAATAATTTTCAGGTGTATCAAAAAGTAAACCTTAAAAATACTAGAACTCCTAGGTGAATGTTCTTAAAGTAGGGAAAGCCTTTCTAAGCAAGACTTCAACCTCTGGTATAAAAACAGTTCGAGTCATTCCAGCTACTAGGGAAGCTGAGGTAGGAGGACTGTTTGAGCCCAGGAGTTCAAGATCAGCCTGGGCAAAATAGTGAGACCCTGCCTCTAAAGTTCAAATAAAATAAAATAAATAGTTTGAGTTCTTCATTTTACAGTGTGTCCCAAATTAAATCTTTTTATTTTTATTTATTTATTTATTTATTTGCAGTCACACTAGAGGAGGTTTATTTTCTGGCTAGCCAGGGTCCAAGCCCCAGAGCACCAACGCAGTGGCCACTCTCGCAGGCAAGGACCCCGACCGGAACAACGGCATGCCTTTTATCCCCATGGTGCACAAGCTGCGCACGAGCTGACTAGGCATGGATCATGCGTTGACCTTTAAAATGATTGGTTGCCCACTATTGCCTTTTGAAATAATTGGCGGGTTGGTTGCCCTCTATTGCCTGATGGGCCAGTCGCCTGTGCTTCAATGACCTCATCCCGTAACTCCCCATCCAGCGGTGTAGCAAGCAAGCAATGACTAGAAGCAGAGGTTTACGGTTAGCTCATTGCCCCACCCAAGTAAATTCCCGACAATTGGAAGAATTCCTCTGCCTTTCCTCTGTCCTACAAATTCCTCTGCCCTACATTCCCCCCTTTCTCTAGGTAGCAGACGAGCACTCTTGCTCGTCCTCAAGGTCTCTTAGGTGCTCTAGTTCTATAGCACTTGACCACAGCTGCTGATGTTGTTGCAATACTAGTAGCTGGACAGTGTTTATCCGTTCTTTCACAAAAGCTACTAGTCTATTAATTACACATGGCAAACAGTAAGGACTAAGTATTAGCGCATAACGAGTGGGCCTAGTAGGGTGGATAGTAGCGTTGTTAACCAGGGGGAACTGTTAACCCAAGACTCAAACCAACCTGCTTGCTGTTCATATTCCCGTTTGCAGCGGGCAAGCCCTTCCCTGACTTAGCTATAAGATTCTCATAACAACTCCCGTATGGTCTGCATAGAAACAACATTCTTCTTGAGGCAGCACACAGTCCTCCTTGCTGGAGGAATACTAGATCTAACCCCCTCCGGTTCTGGAGCACTACCTCGGATAGGGAGGTTAGTGACTCTTTTAGGTGTGAGATTGAATCTTCTATCCTTGCAATATCTATCACAACAGCTGCCTCAGAGTATTAAACCCTCTTTGCTGCATTGCCAGAGTGAGTATAGTTCCTGCTTTATTGCCCCTAAGCCACAAAAGAGTAAGGTTATGGCTGTGAGGCTCTCTTTTTCTTCAAAATATAGGTTGGTGACTCTTTGCCTACTATGCCCTCATACATTGTCTCCTCAGTTGGTATGTTATTTTGAACACTAACACCATTATACAGTAATCTTTAACATATAAGTTATGGGTTGGTGGGGTTCGGGGCAGTAAGTATGCTGTAGGTTCCATCCAAAAACATTAGACAAAAACACAACATCAAAACAAAAACACCCCAACCGCGACCGTCCATGTGTCACCAGTTCAATCTTTAGATGCCACAACCCCAGTCCAAGTCTGGGTCAAGCAGTCAATGGCGTCGCTGCCGCGGGTCAAGGTTGGGTCTTCAGAGGGATTCCTCGGGTCTCGTTGCTCACTGTCCTGGCACGACTCTGTCTTTTTATTAGGTCTCACGTCGGATGGTATCCAGGTCGCTACTATTCTATCAACCTTAAGAGCAGTGAGGTAAAGAATAAATTTGATAGGGGCCCTTCCACATCGCTAAGGTTTCTGTGTTATTGTCGTTCACCATAGCAGTCCCCAGCTGGGTGTGGGTGACGGTGTCCGCACCCTCCTCCTTTTTTTTTTTCCAGGGGGCCCCGGGTTAGATAGCACGAGGGACGTGCCATCTGACGTGGACACGTGTGCAGGAGCCTGCACCGCTTGTAACACTTTTTTGAAGTGTCGAAGAACCTCAGCTCATCCTAGGAACTACAGGGAGGGGGTGTGTTCAATATGATTCTCAAAGGGTTAAACCAACTGTGATAAGGTGTTCTGGGCTCCGGAACAGGGCGAAGGGAAGGCAGGGTCCCCGGTCTCTGCCAGTTTCCAAGGCCTGAATTTAGTCAGGGTCTCCATTTTACGTCTATTCATTCGCTCTACTACCAGATCCGGCTGGTTATATTGCAAATGTAATCCAATCTATCCACATGGCGCCTGGGCCACTTGGACTAACCTGAGCGACAAACGCGAGGTCCTTATCTTTATCCTCTGGCAAGTCCATACCTGGGGATTATTTTTTCTAATTATTCTCTATAAGTTTACTGTAAGGTGTTCTCCTTTTCGTAGGGAAGGCTTTACCCTCAGAAAACTCGTATCTACATGACCGTAGAAATTATTCGGTACCCGTATTTCCAGTTTGACCTCTGTGAATCCACTGTCCCAAATAGTCACTGGCTGCCTTCCCCCCTTTCTATACCTGCGTGGGTCCCTCTGGTCCTCCCGGCTGCATGACTGGCAGCTCGGCAATTTTGAGATGTTATCTGAACCCTCCTTGTGACCTTGAACTTAGTTGAGCAGTGTCCAGCAGTTGCAGCATCTTCTCTCCCTAGCTGCTGTGGTCTGATGCAGTGTTACAGGAGCGTCCTAAGAGTTCTGGCATATTGAGCGATGCCCTGCATCGCAACAGCTTCACTTTGCTCACGCTAGCTGTCTGAGGCCCAGATCCGCAATTCTACACTGGAAGTAGTCGGCAGAGGGCGACGTCCATGCCGGGGGTGAGCGCAAGTGCAGGATGTCTTGCCCTGCGGATGCTTATGCAGCCTCTTTACGCCTCTCACCTATCCAATTGCCCCGGGCTTCACTGAATCCGCTTCTGGTGTCCGGGTAGGACTACCGCCTCGGCTTTGGCAGCAAAAGCCTCAGTAGGTGGAGTTTTCAGGCTTGTGCTTAATTCTTTTCCCTCTGCCTGATGAAGCCTTTCCTGTAGACCCCATGTATGTGCCACAGTCCAAGCAAGCGAGATGTCAGTGTCACGTCAGCTTTTTTCTCAGCGGCTAAGAGCTCCGGTCAAGCGGCTATTAGTTCTGCCTTCTGGAGATGCCTTGCGGAAGGCGGCCGCCCAGACAAGTTTACCTTGGTCATGCTACTATTGTGGGGGCGCCCGATGGCCCTTAGGCAGCGTCTCAGTGGCAAAAAGAAAGAGTTTTCTGCGCCCCGCCCTTCGTGTGAAGTTAGGGTGGAGGAAATTGCAACAGCACAATCTGTTTATACTATACCTCCAGTTAATTCCTTGGTTGTGAAGAAAGGGCAAAAGGAGATGGGATGCACAGAATCGCGAGATTCCAAAAAAATTAATGGACTTCAAAGGTCAGTCGGGATGGCCAGCGCGTATTTAGTTTGTGCCTGCTAAGCCCTTTGGGGGGGGATAAAAAGGGCACCCGCATTCAGTCATGGTCCTTGCTGCAAGAGTAGCACTGCGGTTGGCGCTCTGGGGCTTAGACCCTGGGTAGGCCAGAAATAACTCTCTTGTGTGGTTGCATTCCTCGATGTCTCTTCTTCTCTGTCCGTGCGCGTGTAGAAAGTCGGTCCCTTACATTTGGGGCCGTCCGGATTCCCTTCCCAGACTCCGGATAGAACTCAGGACTAGGGAGAGTGTGAAATCCACCCGGACTAGCTGGTTGGTGTTGGGCAAGGGACGAGGAATCCCTTGCAGGACCCCGGATCAGGACGCCGGCACAGCCTAGGCGGACGCGCTGGTGGGTCGCGGTCGGAGCAGGCGGAGACGTCCTCTGGGCTCCGTTGGGACTCCGGGTGACCTTGTAGCAGGTCGGTCAGGAGGGACCGGGGAGCAGGTGCCGGACCAGGTAGGTTATTGTTAAATTCGTTTTCCGTATGTTTCTGATCGTCTGTCTGTCGTTGTTTGCCGGCTTTGTGTTCTTCTGAATGAATGGGTTTTGTGAGTGAGTTGTTGATTACAGGCCACGCAGACCCGTGAGGGACATCGGAGTGCCGAGGACTGGATTGATAGATCAAAAACGGAGTGGCGGTACTTCCCCCTTATAAAAAAATTTTTGGCTTTGTTTTTTTTCCTTTTTTTTTCGCCACATGGGACAAGCCATGAAACGGCCCTTCCTTGTACTGGGCACTTTAGGAGATGTAAAGGCAGGCCCCGTAATCTGTCCTTAGAGATAAGAAGGCAATTGGGTCCGTTATGCGAAGCCGAATGGCCTGTGTTCATGCGGGGGCCTAAGGGAAGGGTCTTTGACAGGCGTGTGGTTGAGAAGGTAAAAGAGAATCTCTTGGCTTCCTGGGACCCGTCAGATCCCATATATCGTAGTCTGGCAGGACTGGTCAGGATCCCCGCTTAAGATGCAGCTTTCGTGCCCTTAAGGGGAACAGGGATCTCACAGTAAAGAGGCTGGGAGAAGGGGTAAGCCAGTCTCACCGCGCAAGTTCATCCAGACTATAACCTCTACATGACTGACCGGGCTTGAATGGAATGCCCCTCCATAATAATCCCAGAGCGGCTACCGGGGCGCCAGCGCCCCGAGTGCCTGCGCCCAGCGGGATGCAGCTGGAGGGAGGGAGACTGCTATGGCACTACGGCAACGCACAGGGTCGGACCCAGCCCGGAGCCGTGAAGGCCTTCCCTACGGGCGGAGGGCCCCGGGAGACGAGTGGGACACCAGACTTATCAATAATTTGGCCTTTCTCCACCAGGTGACCTTACAACTGGAAATTCGAACTCAAACTTTTCCAATAACCCAGGTCTTCATTAACCTTTTCAACTCTTTTTACACACCAGCTGCCTGGGATGATTGCCGCAGCTGCTCAGGTGCTTTTACCACAGAGGAAAGAAGGATTCAGGGAGCAGGAAACTGGTTTCCAGGAGAGACCAGCTCTACGAAACCCGAGAGCCATGATCGAACTTGCCTCGAACGACACTGTGGGAATACAATGAGGACTGAGGCAGGAGCTTCGGGTCTACCGCCAGACTCTGGATGGCGGTCTCCGCGTGCGGCACGCAAAGCCGAACAATATTGGTAAGGGTAGGAGAATCCGTCAGGGCCAAGAGAGCCCGGCAGCAGATTTTAGGAAAGATTATGGAGGGCTTTTCGACAGTAACGCATAGATCCACAT